TCCGGGGGGGGGATACTTTATCCATGGATTCCAGGAAGGGATACTTTATTCAGGGATTCCAGGGGGGGGGGATATTGGAGGTAAGCAATAATTCTGATTTCCTTTACAGGAAATTTATCTTCAGAATTCATTTTCCGAATAAATTTTTAAAACATTGAAATTTACTCACAAACTCTTCTCAATTTCTCTTTACCTGACGTAGACAGTTTTTTTCATTTAAACATCATTTATCTACTTCTCTCTTTCTCAACCTTGATAAATCTTCAGTTTTTAGTTCCTTACTTACTTTTGTAAACTCTCTGGAAAACTAAGAAAATAAAATTAAGAAATGATTTGAATAAATGATCGACAGCGTCTAAAATGATTCCATCATGGGGAATAGAAACCGCCTGAGCACCTATATTTCAAACTTAGATTATTTGATCCTTGAAACATCTTTCTTCCTTAAAGGGACTGTTAACGTGATTCCATGTGACTCTCTAATTACTGAGGAGCAATACCGCTTTACTCTATCCTTAAAAGAATTGTCTGATAAAAAAAAAGAATGAGCTATCCATGTTTCTATTTTTGATAGTTGATTATTTTTGTTTAAAATTTCTCTAAAAAGTGACCGGCAGATCAGTGGACCGTAGCTTTATAACATATCTGCACAAATCTAAAATTTATCTTGTTGAATACTGGACAAAAAAGGCTTGTTTTTAGATAATTAACATGTAAACCTATTTTTAGATGTAATCAAATCATTTTTCACGAAATTGGGTCTTAAATTTGTCTAAAATTAAATGAAAAGCTTTTGCGCTTGAAATTACATCTTTAAACTACCTTTACTCTCTTCACTTATATTTTTTAGCTCCTTCAGTTTATCTCTGAACTTTACTCCCATTTTATTTATTTTTTTTTACTTTACTTGTAGCTCTGTTCCCATTTTTTCGTTTTTCGTGTTTTATTTTTATTTTTTAACGAGTTTCTTTCTTTATGGTTTCACATACAACCAAAACACTGAGGAGGGTAACAACTTGACAGAAGCCCCCTGTCCCAGTCATCTCCCCTCCCTGTCACCTCCTCTCNATAAGCTTCACGTTTATATTATTATGCCACTCCCCAACTCACCCTATTACCTCACGTAAAACTAACTACAGCGAATTTCATCTTGATCATATATTGATATTTCATTCAAATTCCGTTAAAAATAGCTTAAGAAACCGTATATATATTGAAAAATACATGTTAAAATACATAGCCTATCAAAAAAGTAAAAAATTGCAAATATGAAAAATCTATTTTTCACGGGGAAAATATGTTCTAAAGCTAAGACTCCCTGTATTTTTAACCTGTACCTCTAGTTCATCGTGAGAGCTCCTTCTCTCTTCCTTAACTGCGAGAATTTGTTGTAAGTTTCCATTTGACAGCTTTTGACGAAATATTTCAAATTAGAAAACACAGTTCAAACTTTACTTTATATTTATCCTCAATGCAAATCTTCTGTATGTTGTATACACATGAATACCTATATGCACAGGGTGTCTCTGAAAAAAAAATGAATTGAAGCTTTTTTGCCTATTAAACGTCGTTGAACTAAATAGTGCTTGTTGTAGGCACAATGTCAATAAATCTGGTCATTGATGAAACATTTTGCTCTAAAATGCTGTTTTAACCCTCAAAAGTAGGCATAATAGACGAAAATGTGCTTTTTTCAATAGCTTTTTCACCCAATAAACGACGTTTTAATATACTATTGTGTTATGTACACTTTCTAACCTATTCTAAAAACAAAAGTTTACAAAACAAAACGAAACTTAACCGGTTTTTCAACAGTTTGAAAAAAGCGTTGGATTCATGGTACTTTTCGTTACATATTTATTATATTTGACCATTTTTCTTCTGTTACTACAAGATAAGGTAAAAAAACTAACTTATGAAAAATTGTTTGCAACATACATCAATTTTACTTAAATATATGTACACAATGAAATATATGTACACAATGAAATATATGTACACAATGAAATATATGTACAAAATTAAATATATGCACACAATGAAATTTATGTACACAATGAAATATTGACATATTTAATATATTTTCTATTTCTTGTCCTTTAATAAGCTTACTTCTGATATTTATATTAAATACTATTAATAATTATTGACTACAATAAATATTAAAGCACAATAAATATTTTTATGAATCAACGTTGACGTTTTAATAATTAGCATACTATTAATATGATTAACACTTATATACTGATGTTATTTACTGAAACATTTTTAGCGGATTTTTAAAGATGCATCACTGGGATGATTATATCAATTTAAAATGCCAGAATTTGATAAATCTGTTAGATAATCGTTACTTAGTTCAGAACCAGTTTGGATTTTTAGTTTATTCTGATTCGCTCAGCTCTAACAGATTCAGTTACTTTAGGAAGTCTCTAGGAATACAGTGATATCTACATTATAGTATTCCTTTGGATATTTATTTAACCAATCTATAGTATTCCTTTGGATACGTTTTCAAGTGATGCCTTTCCTCAGAGAAACCTGTGACGGGAAACTTCCCTAAATAATTGATTTTATTGTGGTTTGAATGGAAACCTTCTAGCTAAACAATATCAAATGGAAACAACTCACATATTACAAATTAGTTAATTCTAACTTATAATTTAAGTTATATTAACGGTCACATAGTTCAAAATCAGAACTGAACCTTTATATCATGATATAGCATAAAGCTTTTATTCTTCTTCTCATTGAAAACAGCAAAACAAAAAATTCATAAATTTATAAATTTATAAAGTGGGTTGGTCGCTCTATATATTTTCAGATAAGATAACGAACTTGAAAAACTAGAGATAAAACTTTTAAGAAATCAGCAAAAATTATGGATAAGGGCAAAAATGTATAAAGCTAAAATGCATAAGTGCTTATCGCACTACTCTGGATCAAGTATTAATTTCTTAGTTTTCATAAAAAAAAACAGGGTTTGACTAGCTTGGATTTAGCAATGTTGAGTTCTTGAATGTTTTAATTAACTTAGGTACTGGATTCATTACGGATGATGATCTTTTAGATGTACATGAAGTACTTGATGCAGGAGTTCCCCATATCTAACCTTGTTTTATCACTCATATGTAGCTTGTTGGAGGCTTTATCTTCTCTGTAATGAGTTTCCTGACTCCTACCTTGGAGCCAGTTTTCTATTCTCTTTAGGAAGAACCGCGATCTTAGGATCATGTCCAATATATTCGTTCTCATATCTTTTTCCTTGCCATCCGTTTAATATCGAGGAGGTCATCAACAATGGATATCTCATACCAGTTCTACAGCTGTGTGGAGCAGCTTTGCATGTAATGCAGGGATAATTTCCCCAGGTATCATTGGGAGCAGTAATCCTGTACTGCAGGGAACTGTTGTGGATATGATATATTACTCGAGGTCTAGGTTCAGCAACTGAAGTTGCTTTCGAACAGATTGAACAGTATCTTGGATAATTCTGGTTTTTATCACGGATCATCTTCCAGTCTGGAGTCTTGAGCTCCATGATATTATTAGATTCTTTAGTCTTCCAATTCAGACTAATCTCCTTCATCTGCAGCTCCGCCGGAACTCCAATCTTTAGCTTGTCTGAGTATTTGGATTGGGGTAAATCATGGTAGAATAATTTGGAGGAAGGGGTGGCGGGGGAATCATCACATTGGGTAAGGTCATGTTCTTCCTTTTGTTCTCCGCGTACTTCAGCACCTTCTCCTTCACACTGGTAGCTCGATTCTCCATCTAAGATTAAATATAATTCAGAGAATTGTTGATTAAGCTTTTATAATAAATTCCAATCACAAATAATCAAGTTAGTCTCAAAGATTTCTGATTTATGATAAACAAAAATAAAATTAAAACAAAAGAATAACTCTGCTGCAATTTAATGGATTTTCTCAAACAAAGACGTGTTAAGTTTCCATTCTGTAAATAGTATTATGCAAAAATGATAATCTTGGATTATTACCAAAAGCTCTGAAATTAGCTGCAGTCTCTATTTTGTATTTTAAACCAAGACTTAAAAGCTCACAAGGCTAGTTCACCCTGCTTACATATAATAATCCAAATAAAATATTTAACATACAAAATTAGATAATTTTTAGAATAGAATATTTTTTTTTGTTTCTAATGCCAAAAATAAATTGATTTCTAGAGGGCAGGCCCTGGATTCCTGGCCATAGCTCGCAAAAAAAATTAAAAACTAGATCTAAAAATTGACTTGTATTGTTACAATCCCAAGATAGATGAATAATTGTTTCAATCTCAGAATTGCAAAAAGTAAACGACGGCTGAATTCCAAGAACAAATTTTGACACAATTCTGTTTGTTTTCAGCGTGTCGCGTACTATTTAATTAAAACAATTTTATCCTATTGTCAAGAAAAGCTCTTTATAATTTTAGTAACAGCGCTCCCAAAAACTTACACTTTGAATTTAATTTAATTGCACTTCCCATTTCCTTCCTCTATCTTGTATGCTAGCTCTTGAAAATTGTATTTTTTTTAACATTTTAGACCAGTAACTGCATCCAGATTTCGACATATGTATTAATCCTAACATTGGCGGAAACATTGGCATTTCGGGAATTAATCTTTCAAATGTTAATCCTAACTTCTGTACATTCTAATTACAACTTTAATTGACGTAAAACTTAGATTATCTGGCAATTCTCCATATCTGTTGTAAAATTCCTCCGAAGATAAAAATGTTAGGCCATTTTCTCTTATTTTCATAATGTCACTAGGACAATCAATTAATATTCCTATATTCACAAAATAACCTCTTTTACAAATCTCATGTCCTTTAATGAATATGCTCGAACCTCAAATAGGATAGGTAAGAATTTTTTCGGGAGACAGTTTTATTTGCTCCAGCATGAGAGGACTAATTGAGCGTATACATTCAGACCAGTATGAGCTTGGATACTTTTTAGCAACATTATTATAATCTACCGTGCCTAGAGTACACATGAAAGAGTTCAAGGATAAATTGCTGCAGGATTTTGTTAGATTAGAATAAAAATATTTTTCCAGGCTGATTCGTTTGTCACGAGTCTTCTGAACCATGATAATTTGAGTGTTTTCCAACTAGCTGCAATGTCAGGAAAGTCTAAACCGCCCTTATCTTCAGTTTTGAACCTTTTCTTTGCCCTGCCAGATAAACTTATATACTTTAGATTTAATTAGTTTAAGTTTTTGTTTATTTAAGGATGGAAGAATAAAGGCTAGATGTGACAATTTTAAGAGAACTAAAGTCTCTTTGCCTAACGGAGAAATTAATCGCTATTGTCATTTTTTCATAAGAGTTCTTATATCATTAATTTTTTCATAAGAGTTCTTATATAATTAATTTTTTCATAAGAGTTCTTATATCATTAATCTTTTCATACCAGTCCTTTTATCATTAATTTTTTCATAGCAGTTCTTATCTCATTAATTTTTTCATAGCAGTTCTTATATCATTAATCTTTTCATAGCAGTTCTTATATCATTATTTTTTTCGTCATAATTAGACTCAATATTAGAAAGAGTCCCATCAAATTTAATACCCAACAATTTGAAGTTTTTATGCCATTTGAGTCCTAACTCTCTACATAAGACATAATCATAATAATGCTTTTATTGGTGTCTAATATTTTTTGAAGGTTTTCTACAAAATATTTTTAAAATCCAAATTTGAAAATGATAAAATTAAGAAGCGTGAATAAATGAGGAAAATTATATATTTTCCTATATTTTCTTGAAATAACTTTTTATTTATGAATAATTAAAATGATTTGTTTTCCTGCTTTTACTCATCTTCCTCTCTTCTTCTCCTTTTCTTCTTCTTCTTGCCTTTTTGTGTTTTACTCTTTCCCTAGGTGTTTTGCCTTTTTACCTCTTGTTCTGCTCCTTTGCCTCTTGTCCTGCCCCTTTACCTCTTGTCCTACTCCTTTGCCTCTTGTCCTGCTCCTTTACCTCTTGTCCTGCTCCTTTACCTCTTGTCCTGCTCCTTTAATTCTTATCCTGCATAGTAGTTTTGTTGTATTTAAGAGTGAACACAACATTTTTTTATTTAAAAGGCAAATGGGGGACACTCCCCATTCCTGTATACGCCCTTGTGTCAATGCTCTTCTACCTTTTCCTTTATTCTCTTCCTTTTGTATTCTTCTTTTACCTTATCTTTTGTTTTCATCTACCCCTGATCTGTTCCTCTTTCTATTTATATGTCTGTCTCCCTACTAAATTTGCTCCTTGAGCGTTAAACCGGTTCCAAGTGCTCAGGTAGGATTATATCATGCAGGACTATACAGGCAGTATAGTATAGTGGTTTAACCTGTCATTGTATTTACACCTTTTCGAACCAATTCTCATCTGTTCTAACTATACTGCAGTCTTTTCAAGTCTACCTCTATCCTCAAATTTCAGTTCTAGCGAGGTTTTATAAAAAGATATCGAAAGTACAAAATCTCGAATAATAGATAAGATATTCCGCCTTTTTATTAATAATTGTAACGTTTTTTAACTAAACCAGAGCCGGGATTAAATGCTAAATATTGTATTTCAGATGAGACTAAACTAAAATGAAAACCATTCTATATTTCCTTCTCCTGGTGTCAATGGCTGCAGCCCAGGACGATTTAACAGAAAGTTCCACTCAGTCCAGCTCGTCCAGTAGAAAGAAGAATGTGAAACTAAAGGATGATAAAACGACAAAGGAAAAGAAACTGCTGAGAAAAGCAGAAAAAGACAAATCTCCGAGTCAAGGTATTAGAAAATAAAAACAAAGAAAATAATTAATGTTTAAACGTCAAAGGGACGACAATTCCTTATTGTTTAAAGGCTTAGGTTTTTATTTCTCCAGTTTCAAAAATAAATCTATGATTTTAATTTTAAAGTTATTAGTTCATCGTCAAAAAAATACTAAGAATCCACCACCAGCTATATTAAATGTAATGAAAACATTAAACATGCAACTTCCCTTTTCCTTTTTTTTAGAATTGGGGGGAAATATTCCCACAAGGCGCTATTTTTAGAGCTTTTTAAATATTTTCTCCTGAAAAACTTGATTTTGTACGTTTTTGTTGTATTTCATAAATATATAATTACTTCCTAGACTCTGAAGTGGCAGATGAGCGTCCGGCAAAGACAAGGTTAAGAGAATTCTTGTTGGACGGATATGATAAAAATATTCATCCTGTTCCGGATCACACTGATAAAGTTAAGGTGAAACTAAATAAATTCATATATTGTTTTGTTTTTTATTTTAAAAAACATTCAAGGCTTTAATCGAAAGCTTCAAAATTTATCTTAAACAAGTTTTCTTCTTGTGTTTAACTTCTAAAATACTGATTAGAATTGTTTTACGGACATTTGATTTTCATAAAAAAAACTCTTTTGATAATAATGAATTAAAATTTCAACATTTTGGAAAAGATAGTTTTAATTATAAAAGAAAATTAGCCTATTTCTTAATCTGAGAACAAAGAATTAATTTTCATTAAATAGATTATTAAGTAAAATAGGTGGCACTGGAGAATAGCTAACATACAGTTCAACTGTTCTACGTCAATGCTGACCTTGTAATATTCAGTGTCAGACAAATTATTTAAAAATATTGAGTCTTTGTCACAAACTAAAATTGTTTAATCCCTATCTCTTCGGAACCGGGTGTAAATCTTTGATATTTTAAACTTAGATTGTTTCATCTAACAGATTTAATGGTTTGAAATATATAAGTTCTATGACATTGCGTTGCGAAGATATAGAGATCAGAAAATCAGAGTTTGTGACAAAGATTCAATTTATTTTTATTTTCTGTTTAAAAGCTGTTTTTTTCTTCTCAACGCTAAAAACGGGTTGTAACTGTGTCACAATTGACACCAATGACGTCATGAGAAATTTCTTCAAAATCTCATTTCCACCGATTGTACTTAATTGTAAATCTAAATACTCGGATTGCATTATAAAGTTTAAATATTTTATTTACTGGACTCAAATCAATCAGAACAATGATATGTTAATAGAATCTGTTTTAATTTACATATTTTGTATTGACACACTTGTTTTAATTACATGGTTACCCACAAAATTTGAGAATTTAAAGACGGCTGTACGGCCTCCATGCAGTTGCACACTTGTTTCTAGCTCAGTCGGATCATTTAATATAACTTAAAGACAAAAGTCCTCATTCAATGTTATTATATGGTTTTAGGTAAACCTTGGAATGGCTCTGATCCATCTGGACCTAGATGAAAAGAAATCCGTCCTGGAGGTTGATGCTTGGTTGAGAATGTCCTGGATTGATCATTATCTCAAGTGGAACACTTCTCAGTTTAATGGTTTGATTTTATCATTTCTTCAAGGGAATGTTCGCGAAAAATGAAAGGGGCTGATTAAATAAATGAACAGAATGATTCTATTCTAAATGGTCCTAAATCAAATCATAGGTATTTTTGGAATGAAATCGGAACACATCAATAAACCTATGATTTAATACCTAACATGACCCAATTTCATTGATTTTAAATTTTAACCTTAATTACTGTGTTTACAGGGGTTCAGCAAATACACTTTGGTATGGATGAGATCTGGAAACCTGATATCTACCTTTACAACAACGCTGACGGTGGGACAACAAGTAGCTTTGGGAATACACATTTTCTAGTTCACAGCTCAGGGGAGATAATTTGGGTACCTCCAGTCAAATATAGAGCTTTCTGTAAGGTAAACAACATTATTAATAGAACCCCGTTTAGAAAAAAATACAATAATTGTATAAAACGGGAAAATTTCAAAATTAATATGAATAATTAAAGGGAGTGATTGCGAAAAATTAATGGGGTCAGGCTAAATCCCAATTTAAATTATTAGTTGAATATTAACGGTTTGAGTGGAATAACACAACTAAATAAATTTATGTCGACCTCCTTGTTAAAATGAAACTTAAGAAATTTTTATAAAATATTTTTTTTTGACGAACTAAACGTCGAATAAGTAATCATATTGAATTGATTTTAAGAAAATTTTAAAAATTTTAAAAGTTTTCATCCTTCTATTTTAGATAGATCTAAGATTGTGGCCGATAGAAACTCAAAAGTGCAAGGAACTTTATCTTCTTTAAACTCTACTCACAGTTCTTATCAGCTCTAATTAGCTTTTCACTGAATAGATCTATATTAAAGGATAAGGTTGGATGAGTTCTATATTAAAGGATAAGGTGGGATGAGTTCTATATTAAAGGATAAGGTTGGATGAGTTCTATATTAAAGGATAAGGTTGGATGAGTTCTATATTAAAGGATAAGGTTGGATGAGTTCTATATTAAAGGATAAGGTTGGATGAGTTCTATATTAAAGGATAAGGTTGGATGAGTTCTATATTAAAGGATAAGGTTGGATGAGTTCTATATTAAAGGATAAGGTTGGATGAGTTCTATATTAAAGGATAAGGTTGGATGAGTTCTATATTAAAGGATAAGGTTGGATGAGTTCTATATTAAAGGATAAGGTTGGATGAGTTCTATATTAAAGGATAAGGTTGGATGAGTTCTATATTAAAGGATAAGGTTGGATGAGTTCTATATTAAAGGATAAGGTTGGATGAGTTCTATATTAAAGGATAAGGTTGGATGAGTTCTNAGGTGCTGACCTCTATATCATCTAATATAGCTCTTTATATGAAACCAGGAGTGGGAGGTGCTGACCTCTACAGCGACTAGAAGCCAAACTAAATATGACTGCTGTCCTGAGATGTATCCTGATGTGACATTTCAGTTTTTCCTACAGAGACATTCTCCGTTCTACAGGTGATTACTTTTTCGGCCCAATCTAGACACTTGGAGAAGGTGAAATTAATGCGAAATTACTGAAGAAGGTGAAATTAATGCGAAATTACTAGTGGGACTCGAAGCTTCTCTATTTGTGATTCTACTACAGGGTGTCCCAATAAACATGTGAATTCATTGTCGAATTCGATATCGTCTTTTTAAATAATTCTTTGATTTAGTATAGTGATACCTACTGAGAAAGCTGTAATCTGTAAGAGTTCGTCTGCTATGTTCACATTTTGTTTGTTTATGTTTTGACTGCATACGGATGTACTTATGTAAAACAAGAAAATTGCAGTATACACACAGAGTAAACTTGTCCGTCTTCACTGTTCATCTTGCGGATACGTTATTTGACTCATCTTTACAGTCTTTTACCGTTTTCATAAAATAAACTCTAGAAGACATAATTATAGTATGGCTTTTGAAATTAGGTATCACAATGCTAATTTATAACAAAGACGATATCGAATTCATCACTGAATTCCCATGTTTTTTGGGGCACCCTGTATTTATATACGACATTCCAAAAATTGTACTTTTTTGTTTTTTCAATACGCAATATTTGCTCTTAAAAAAAGGATCCATGATTTTTAGATTTCAAATTTACATTGGATTTACTTTAATTTGATGTGATCACACACACTCCTTACTCCTAGATCCTATATAACTTTCTTCTGTTCTAAGCAACATAGTTGGTTTTCGGAATTTAATTTTTAGTAAAATATAAATATATTTTACAACAGTTACTAATTCTTTTGTAACAAGTTGACGACTGCTACCTATTTCTTGTTTCAAACAATTATTGCACTAAACCTCGATATAAGTTACGGAAAACTAGCTAGAGAGCTATAGACATGTCTAGGTTTTTTCGAAAAAGTTTAAATCTAACATAGGATTCTTGTTCTAAAGCCATCAAACAAAGCTGAGGGGAACTCTTTTCTTTCAATATCAAAACGTAAAGCACCCAAAAATTGGAATTTAGAAAATACGATATAAAAATTACGTTTAACTGTAAAAGATGGCTGTGTAAGTTCTCTCAAGATCGTGTACAAGAATAATATCAATGGGAAGGCAAGCTTGTTAAATACATGGGGTATACATGTATTTAATATACAACTTCTAGGGGGGGGGGCACAGCCCCTTCACCCTGTCTACGCCCCAAATTTTGTATTACATATTACAGGTGTGTTATAATACTGCCCTGTATGGTGATAATGTTAATAGTGGTCGCATCCTTCCTGCTCCCACCATCAGCTGGAGAGAAGATTATAGTTAACTCATCCTGTCTTATAGGTAGTAAATAGAGATAATAATATAATATAATATGTTGCGTATAGCCGGCCAAACGGCTGGACCGATTGGGCGGAAATTTTTTCGTGGAAACTCATAAAAAGTTATCTATTTTTGTCTGTTTATTGTTTTGTATGTCCGATCATAGCTCATGATGGACCCCTTATCTGAGTTGCCTTACATTTTAGTTGGAGAACTTATTAAAGCCACATGAATGCTTTTGGTTTGGTTTAAGTATTTGAAGTTGCGTGGGTTGACTTTTATACGTAAAGATTTATTTTCAAGGTTTAAGTATTTGAAATTGATTTGATAAAATTAAGTACGATATAATAGAACAAATTGATCAGAACGAAAGAAAGGTCGGAAATTTAGTTTGAGAGATAGGATTAATTTATATTATAATACCTAGATCCACAGCAAAAGTGTATAGCTTTGATCAAGAGCTTTATCCGTAAAAATGAGCTGCCTGCTATTTTGGCGATTTGTCGAGATTAGAATTTGTCCTCTGATTGGTGAATGGTTTAGAATCTTAAGAAATATCCTAAAGAATTTAATTCAATCTGTTGAAGCAAAACCGTTGCGGATTAGATCTTATTGAAGTTATAAACACTACAAAAATCTTCCTCCTATACCAGAACTGAGAAGAGCCTATCATGATAAACAGATTAAGAGCTTAGGAGAACAAAGGAATTTAGTCTGAGCAACAAACTCAAATTTTCTATCTCTAGATATTTGCAACCTGATGGTGCAAACCTTAGACTATTAGATCTAACAGAATTTGCCTACGACTCAATTTCTTTAAATTATTATATTTAGTTTGTGTCCTGTACCTGTTATATTTCTCCTCTACTCTACCAGCGCTTTCAGATCAAATACCTCTCATTGTACTCTTCTACAGGTAATTCAGGGTTGCAGGTCTGATTGCTAGAAATAGTATTGCTAGAAACACAGTAAACGATCAAATCATAGACGTGGTGATGAACATAATGTTTGGGTGGCGTTAACTGGAAGTGATTTAGTTTATTTTTTTCAAGAAACTTTCTAACAATCATATCTGTACGAATTCAAACTAATTTTTGACATTATCATATAAGAAAATCATAAATATTGCATTGATTATTTTGAAAATATAGTTGCTAATTGTCATTTTTATGTATTTTACGCTTTTTCTACGAGGTGTCAAAAATAGTAATCATCCTAGAAAAACAGCTCTTTCAAAATTGTCCCCCATTTTTTGAAAATAACTAAGTTGAAGTAATTTCCATTCAATTCTATTTTTAACAAGTCGCGTCACTTTCATACAGAAATCGCAAAAGGATAGGAAAACAAGGATATCTCCATGATTTTTACTCATCCACGAATTTAAAGATATAACGGGGGGTCACTTGAAGTTGTGTCGGCCGTGCTTTTTTTTTACAAATTGGGTATTTTTTATTTTCATATTTTTTACAAGTTACAATTTTTAAGCGTCTAGTAATTGATACATGTTTCTAATGCAGATATAATTATTATTTCCAATATTCTTCTTTTCTATACCTACCCTTGTTCACTTTATTTTATTGTGTCGACGTCGACCTTGATTTTAATCTTAAGAAAAATCTTTTTAACAATTAATTTTTTAAAAATATTTTTTTATCAAATAGATGATTTTATTTCATGATTTTCAGAACTAGCGACATGTCTGTGGCCCTAGCTGCTGTTAAGAATAAAACTAATTTTGATTATTTAGTAACACTGCAGCGCTGGTTGGTATAGCGATAGTACTGAATATTGTCTGTATAACAATAATTACTCCAGTCCTCCTTTTTCTAAATATTCTCCTGGTACCTAGGTACTCCAGTCCTTATTTATTTAACTATTGTCATGGTATCTAGGTACTCCAGTCCTCCTTTCTCTAAATATTGTCCTGGTATATAGGTACTCCAGTCCTTATTTCTCTAACTATTGCCTTGTATCTAGGTACTCCTGTCCTTCTTTTTTCTAACTATTGTCCTGGTATCTAGTTACTCCAGTCCTTCTTTCTCTAAAAATTGTCCTGGTATCTAGGTACTCCAGTCCTTATTTCTCTAACTATTGTCCTGGTATCTAGGTACTCCAGTCCTTATTTATCTAACTATTGCCTTGTATCTAGGTACTCCAGTCCTCCTGCTTGTGTGAGAGAATTCTTCTCTGGGTTTGCAGGACGAATTCTGTGTCTAGGACATTATTATCATCAGGTCTCACATACTCACCAAAGGTAATGTTCTTAACTAGTTTAAGTGTTTTAATCAATAAAATGATCTCGCTGTTTCCATAATATGTCAAAACGCCTGAACCGAATAAGCCAGAATTTGTGTTTTATCTAATCCAGCTATATATAGCTATATTTAGCTATAGCCCTATAGGGGTGATTCTTATCTATCCAGATTCCAGAAACTAAGAAATATTGATAAAAAATAAACAGTAATTGTAAACAAAAATATAATCTCTTTACACATAATGTTATACTATTTCATTTATGGGTGAAAAGCGTATTGAATTTCAACTACCACAGTAAGCTCTATAAAACTATGATGCAGGATGGTGAAATTTATGTAATTTTATGTGTATTTCATGTTGTTATTAAAATGTTTACCAAAAGCTTAAAAAGGCACTTGGTAAGTGAAATGTGTCTGTGTACACTGCACAATTGCTGCGTTTTATGTTCATTGCAGAATATTTAATAATTTAATGTCGTTTTCCTATTCCATAGTTTTATGTGTCTCTGCACGGTATATATTCATGTATTCATGTAATTACATCTATAATCACATTCTGCATATTTGTGTTGATTTGAAGTTTTAGATTAAAACATTCCTCTGGAGTTCAGAGAACAGATATTTTTCTATCATTTATTAGAAATTATTCTTTTTATACACTTTAGAAATCCTTTTACATGAATTTTACAAAATAATATTTGCCATGATTTTCGGCGAACTTTTAGAATTACAAAAACAAATGTTTTAAATTTAAAGAACATTTGAAATTTTGATAAAATCCAACCCTGGAGCTATGCCAGGTTTTACACAAATATTTGGCCGTTTTGGCGTTTTTGAGCCCCAGACTAATAAATGATTGTTGTATTTGTGTGTAGGCTGTTTGTAGAGATGGATTCAGTTAATGAGTCTGCAGAGAGTGATCAACCTCAATCAACAGGTTCTTTCAAAAATAAAAACTTTTCAAAAGAATCGAGTTTGATTTTCTAATCTCTATATCTTTGCAACGCAATTTCGTAAACCTTAGATAGATGAACACAGTTAGATCAAATGATCTAAGTTTGAAATAAATCAGGTTGCAAAGATATAGAGATTAAAAAGTTTGAGGCTGTGGCGAAATTTTAATTCCTTTTTCATTTTATTCAAATATTTTGAAAAATATTTAGGATTTTTTTCAATTTTACGATTTTTACAGTTTTAACAATTAAAATTTTTTTTTGCACTTTTTAAAAGTGTAAATGACTTTTTGTTCTTGATTTTTTCCCCCAAAGATTCAGCTTAATTTATATGAAGTTAGATTCTAATCTCAAACATTTAATAATTGATCTGTTTATCTAAAGAAGATACACCGATCTGTTTATCCAAAGAAGATACACCAGAAACTCTCACATATTTGTTTACAAAAAGTGTACTGCAGTTTCAGGAAGGATAGCAGTACTCTTTTAGCAATACTTTTACTGGGATAGCAGTACTCTTTTAGCAATACTTTTACTGCAGAGTTTGTTTACATTTCTCCAGAAACTGCAGTACACAATGTTGTTGAGGTTCCTTCATTTTTGTTTTACACCGGAAGTGAGTCTTTGCCACACTCTTTGATCTTCTAGTGGCTATATCTATCTTTGCAATACAATCTTGTAGACCTTTGAAATTTCAAACTATAAATAGAGTAAATTTTAAAAATAAAAAGTTAACACCATCAGGTTGAAAAGAAATAGAGATTAAAATATTTTAGTTTGTGGCAAAGACTCAATTCCTTTCAAAACTCTTTATTCTAAACATTTCCTTTTCTTACATTATGTAGATAATACGAAACCTTAGATATTTGCAGGAACTAAAAAACGATTTTTGTATGTTCTAGATTTATGAACAATCCCTTTATTATGAACCTTTAGGTGTTGAGGGTAGGAAGCAGAATGAATGGTTACTTGTTGCTGCTGGGATAGAACGATTCTTCTTTCTAGTTTATACATTAGCATTCGCCATTGTTTCAAGCTCATATATTTAATTCAATCCGGTCTTATTAATATATCTATTCATTTCATGCTAATCTCGTCAAAAAGTTAAATGTAATTGATGTGAATACCCCAAGTCGTTCCACACAAAAAACACCTTCTTCAGATTTTCAGTATGGAGTGTCATGCAAATAGTTTTACAAGTATACTTGTCAATCTATTCATTAAGTGAAAGAGGTCTGTGTACAATTTTTGTGTTTCATGTTGATTAAACTAACAGTCAACTTCCAATACCACAGTTTTTTTGGTTCCCACTGTACTTAACTTTTATTATCATATCTAATCAATTCTAATATTATTTAATAAGGTTCAACATAGATTTTTCATTCATTTGTCTAATTTTCTCAAAGGAATTGACTCTTTGCAACAAACTCTGATTTTCTAATCCCTATATCTTTGGATTCCAAACCTTTGAAATTTCAAACTATGACTTTTGTTAGATCAAAAAATATAAGTTTGAAATATCAAAGGTTTACGACATTGGGTTCCAAAGATATTGGGATTAGAAAATCAGAGTTTGTGGCAAAGAGTCAATTCCTTTAATAACAATTGTAAACGCACTCAAATCAACAAAATTCTGGAAAATTATACATACAGGGTGACCCATGTAGAAGGGAAATTAATGGTTTTAGAACCATTTATGATAAAAAAAATTTCCCAACGGTTCATTTTTAATTGTGGTAAAAATATTCAACTAGCAAACGATTCTGAAATATGATATTCTTTAGATTTTTGTCAAAAATCCCAATATTCTTAAATATAATAACTATGCATAATTTAAGTGTAAACATATGCATAACTCTGTATATAGTTATTTATTTAATCAGTAATATCACATGTGATATAAGTAATGAAATAAACAGAAAAATTAAGTCTAAAAATGCATCATTAACAAGAGAAACCTAAAAATAGATTTTATGAGAACAGGAATGTTTTAAGATCAGGGTTTTGGTAGAAAATAAATCTCTAAAAAAAAAACATTAAGATTTTAAAAATCAACGAACTAATCAACAAAGTGTACAACGAACTAATCAACAAAGTGTACAACGAACTAATCAACAAAGTGTACAACGAACTAATCAACAAAGTGTACAACGAACTAATCAACAAAGTGTACAACGAACTAATCAACAAAGTGTACAACGAACTAATCAACAAAGTGTACAATTTCTAAATTTGAAAACAGATATATAGGTTCGTTCCACACAATAAATCAGAGTTCGGCATTTTTTATAATTATATATTAAAATTTAAATACGTATATGTAAAAAACGTTATGAAACAGTTTTGTAAATCCTTGTCCTTCTTTGCCCTTCAAATACCTCAGAAATGTTTCTGTATTTTAGATTTTAATTGTCAACAAAAAGATTTAAAGTATGTAAATATGAGTAGAATATGAGGAATTTAAAGAAACAAAAGAATGAATTGGGATGAATTTAAAGTTATAGGAATAGTAGTAGAGTAGGATGAATTTAAAGGAATAGAAGTAGAGTAGAATGAATTTAAAGGAATAGAAGTAGAGTAGAATGAATTTAAAGGAATAGAAGTAGAGAAGGATGAATTTATAGAAATAGGAGTAGAGTAGGATGACTTTAAAGGAATAGAAGTAGAGTAGGATGAATTTAAAGGAATAGGAATAGAGTAGGATGAGTTTAAAGGAACAGAAGAATGAAGAAGGATAAATTTAAAGGAACAGAAGAATGAAGTAGGATAAATTTAAAGAATCAGATGTATGAAGTGGGATGAATTCAAAGGATCAGAAGAATGAAGAAGGATGAATTTAAAGGATCAGAAGAATGAAGTAGGATAAGTGATGTGGGATGTATTTAAGGGAAGAGGAGGATGAGTATAGGTTTAAGGTGCAGCAAGATAATTTGTGTGGAGCGGATTAAACGGTTCGGCAAGATGATTTTAGTGGAGCGTAATATAAGATATAAGATACAGCAAGATAAGTTGAATGGGGCGTATTATAAGATACAGCAATTTGTGTTGGGCGGTTTTTAAGATACAGTAAGATATGTTGTGTGGGGCGGATACAGAAAGATAAGTTGAGTGGGGCAAGATACAGCAAGATTAGTTGAGTGGGGTGCATTGGTACAACAAGATACTTTTTTGGGCCGGAATATAAGCTACAGCAAGATGAGTTAAGTGGGGCGGAATGTAAGCTACAGCATGCAAGATATGTGAATGGGGCGGAACATAAGCTACAGCAAGATATGTTGTGTGAGGCGGATTATAAGACACAGCAAGATAAGTTTTGTTGGATGGATTATAAGATTCAGCAAGATCAGTTGTGTGGGATGGATTTTAAGGTACAGCAAGATCTGTTAAATGGGGGGAATTATAAGATTCAGCAAGTTGAGTTAGGATGGATTTTAATGTACAGCAAGATCTGTTAAATGGGGGGAATTATAAGATTATCAAGTTGAGTTAGGAGGGATTTGAAGGTACAAAAGATCAGTTAAATGGGGGAATTATAAAATTTAGCAAGTTGAGTTAGGAGGGATTTGAAGGTACAACAAGATCAGTTAAATGGGGGGAATTATAAGATTTAGCAAGTTGAGTTAGGATGGATTTGAAGGTACAACAAGATCAGTTAAATTGGGGGAATTATAAGATACAGCAAGATCAGTTGTGTGGGATGGATTTGAAGGTACAACAAGATCAGTTAAATGGGGGGAATTATAAAATTTAGCAAGTTGAGTTAGGAGGGATTTGAAGGTACGGCAAGATCTGTTAAATCGGGGGAATTATAAGATTCAGCAAGTTGAGTTAGGAGGGATTTGAAGGTACGGCAAGATCAGTTAAATCGGGGGAATTTTAAGATTCAGCAAGTTGAGTTAGGAGGAATTTTAATGTACAGCAAGATCAGTTAAATGGGGTGAATTATAAGATTCAGCAAGTTGAGTTAGGAGGGATTTTAATGTACAGCAAGATCAGTTAAATCGGGGGAATTATAAGATTCAGCAAGTTGAGTTAGGGGGGATTTTAATGTACAGCAAGATCAGTTAAATGGGGGGAATTATAAGATTCAGCAAGTTGAGTTAGGAGGGATTTTAATGTACAGCAAGATGAGATGAGTGGGGCGAACTATAAGTTAAAAAGAAGAATTGTATAAATGTGATGTATATATAAAATGCATGTTAAAGGGATTGTCGACATAATTATAAGTGATCCTTCATTCAAAGAGTTTCATCCCTTATTGACAACAGTACTCTATAAACCATCGCCTCAGCAAAAAAAACGAAAAAAAGGATATTCAGCAGGATTTAGGATTTAGGACAGAACCACGGTCATATCTTCTCCGTTCTTACTCAGTCAAAGATTAATGGTGAAGTTGTGAATCGAGCATGCACCGTCTTAATCTGTGAGTCCCATAAAATTATGTTGACTGTCCCTTTATGGTACAGAAGGATGAGTTAAGTAAGACGGAACAAATTTCAAGTTACCCGGACCTGTTGGACTAAAATCAGTTGAGTTAGATAGATAGGGATAAGTTAAGTCTGATGGATAGGGATAAGTTAGGTTGGATAGATATGAATAAATTAGGTTGGATAAATAGGGATAAGTGAGGTGGGATAAATAGGGATAAATTAGGTTGGATAGATAAGTTAAGCTAAATAGACAGGGATGAGTTCAAATGAATAGACAGGGATGAGTTAAGTTTGAAAAGACAGGGATGAGTTAAGTTTGACGTATTTAACGATATTTGATGAGTGAGTTGAGGTGGAATGAATGAATGAATGTCATGCATTTCTTTAACCTTCTCTCCTCTATTTATGTATACACCAGATATGAATATTTGAAAGATCAATCTCCATGTAAAACTCGTCTTGATGTGCTTTAGCGTTCTTCAATCTAACGAACTAATCNCCCCCCCCCCCGCACACACACAATCCCGACCCAAACTTAAATCTTGAAGGTACTGTAATGCTTTTTTCAAAATATATATAATTTCTTTTTTCCTTTTATTTTATTACATTTAACCAGCGTTGTTAATCGCTTTGGACAGTTTTCTGAAAACTTGAAATAAAACTTTCAAGATTTTAAAACTGTTACATTTTATTACATTAAACTTTGCAATATTTTTATTCTAAAAAATATGGAAAATAATTCAAAATCTATCTTTATACCACGTTCGTATCTTCACTTCCACCGTTCTCCTAGGGTTTTTCTTGTTGTTAACTTTGTTCTCCTTGTTCTTACTGAGTTTAAAGTATTTAAATTTCACCCTTCACCTCTGTACCCTGCAGGGTACCCTGAGCATGCCTAATCCTTGTTATATTTCTCAAGTTTAATCTTTAGGCCCTGGGTGGACTTAGATACCTGAGAATTTTATCTTTTAAAGCATAAATAATTCCAAAAAGTACATTTATTTTTACAAATTTACATTACTTCTCTCTTGATTGTATTTACATATTGTCAATGTAGGTTTGTTTGTCTGATGTTGCTCCCCTCCCAACCCCCACCCCCTTCTGGTATCTGCTAAAGGCGGAGTGCATAGTGTACCGGTACTACTGAGTTCTCAACCAGCTGACTCAAACCCAGTCTACATTCAACTCTCCAGTACCTTAGTACCGTTCATATCTCCAGTAGCATCCTGAGCTAAAGTAGTGTGAATATCTCCAGTAGTTTCCTGATCTATAGTAGTATTCATATCTCCAGTAGTATCCTGATCTATAGTAGTGTTATATCTTTAGTAGTATCCTGATCTATAGTAGTGTTATATCTCCAGTAGTATCCTGATCTATAGTAGTGTTATATCTTTAGTAGTATCCTGATCTATAGTAGTGTTATATCTCCAGTAGTATCCTGATCTATAGTAATATTATATCTCCAGCATTACCCTGATCTATAGTAGTGTTATATCTCTAGTAGTATCCTGATCTATAGTAATACTATATCTCCAGTAATATCCTGATCTATAGTAGTGTTATATCTCCAGTAATATCCTGATCTATAGTAGTATTATATCTCCAGCATTACCCTGATCTATAGTAGTGTTATATCTCTAGTAGTATCCTGATCTATAGTAATACTATATCTCCAGTAATATCCTGATCTATAGTAGTGTTATATCTCCAGTAATATCCTGATCTATAGTAGTGTTATATCTCCAGTAATATCCTGATCTATAGTAGTGTTATATCTCCAGTAATATCCTGATCTATAGTAATATTATATCTCCAGTAATATCCTGATCTATAGCAGTGTTATATCTTCAGTAGTATCCTGATCTATAGTAGTGATATATCTCTAGTAGTATCCTGATCTATAGTAGTGTTATATCTCCAGTAGTATCCTGATCTATAGTAGTGTTATATCTCCAGTAATATCCTGATCTATAGTAGTGTTATATCTCCAGTAATATCCTGATCTATAGAAGTGTTATATCTCCAGTAATATCCTGATCTATAGCAGTGTTATATCTCCAGTAATATTCTCATCCATAGTAATATTATATCTCCAGTATTATCTTGATCTATAGTAGTGTTATATCTTCAGTAATATCCTCATCTATAGTAGTGCAGTTACATCTCAAGTTTTATTCTGATCTATAGTAGTGTTATATCTTCAGTAGTATCCTGATCTATAGTAGTGATATATCTCCCGTAGTATCCTGTTCTATAGTAGTGATATATCTCCAGTAGTATCCTGATCTATAGTAGTGTTATATCTCCAGTAATATCCTGTTCTATAGTAGTGTTATATCTCTAGTAGTATCCTGTTCTATAGTAGTGTTATATCTCTAGTAGTATCCTGATCTATAGTAATACTATATCTCCAGTAATATCCTGTTCTATAGTAGTGATATATCTCCAGTAGTATCCTGATCTATAGCAGTGTTATATCTCCAGTAATATCCTGATCTATAGTAGTGTTATATCTCTAGTAGTATCCTGATTTATAGTAGTGTTATATCTCCAGTAATATCCTGATCTATAGTAGTGTTATATCTCCAGTAGTATCCTGATCTATAGTAGTGATATATCTCCAGTAGTATCCTGATCTATAGTAGTATTTTTTAAAAGTATAAAATGCATAAATTGGCAAGTAAACTGTCGATTGAGTAGGATCGGAGATAAGAAAGGAACGATTTATCTGGGATAAGGCAGGAAAGATGTATCGGAGATAGATGAAGGATGATGCATTTATATCGAGAAAAAAGATGCATCTAAGATAGAGAGAACGAATGATGTATTTAAAAATTGCATGGTATCGATATAATATATTCTGGCTTCCGTTATAATTTAAAAAATTAAAAAGTCGCAAACATTCTACGAGTACTTCTAGCTTGGTCTACAATAAACCAGTGATTTTGTTGAATCTAAGTTTTGCATCTCATCGGAACCCTCGGCACTAATAAAGGTTTGTCTATGGAGTAAGGTTCGGGTTGATGATTTGCTCAGGGTGTAGGCGTGAATTGTGAGAAATTATGGAAACTTTCTATATAATTACGGAGAGATCTCAAACAGGCCAACTTGTTCTTATCAAATATTCATCCAATAATTGGTATGTCCCCCCCCCCCTATGATTGGACTAGAAAACCCTGAAATACTTAAAAATGCAACAATTATCCAAAACTGCATTACTGTGACATTTTCATTTTCTTTATTTTCATATTAGAAATGGGTTTGAGAGGAGAGGATGAGGAGAAAGGTAAACCAATTGCAGAAATCTATTTCAACAAAAAGGAATTGAGTCTTTGCCACAAACTCTCATTTTCTAATCCTAATATTTTTGCAATCCAATGTCGTAGACCCTAGATATTTCAAACTATGAATTCTATTAGATCAAATAATCTATGTTTGAAATATCAAAAGTTAACACCATCGTTGCAAAGATTTATTGATAAGAAGATTTGAGTTTAAAGATGAAAATGAAATATGCATCCGTACTGTACAATGTACATACACATCACACATGTACATAGCAGTACAGTATCTCAGGATTTATTGTGCAGGAACGAGGAGAGGTTTATCCATCCTCTGCTTCGAGCACTGCGGGAAGAGAATCTTCTCCTTGAAGAATATCCCGGATGCGTGTCCTGTTTGCAACCTTCTTATCACTCAGTGTGATCTAAAAATCCCTCCCTTTGCTGTTCCTTCTCCTTTCAAGAAAGCAGTTGATTTCCCCTGTTCTATAGTTATCAAACCAACTAAAGGTAATTTTTTGCTAGACTACAGTCGTCGATATATATATATAAATACAATGAAGACGATTTTATATTCTAATTTAGATTTCTACCATGCTTTCTAACAGCAGAAACACTTAAACGTTTAAACAAAGAGAAGTTGCCATATTAACAGCTTCTCGTTGGTCATTTTATTGATATAATCACCAACCACTGTAGTTCCATGTTTTACTAGTCTTATTGTTATTCTATTCTCATATGTTATTTATTAGTCTTGTGCTATATTAGTCCCATGTTACTAGTCTTATTGTTATTCTATTCTCATATGTTATTTATTAGTCTTGTGCTATATTAGTCCCATGTTAATCTCTTACCGAGTTTATACAATGCGCCCCATGTTATATACTAGACTTGCTTGGGAAACCCTCTCAACCAAACTAAGAACATGTCCCTTGTTCTACAGACAGAATTATTCAACTCCGAAGCATAAGATGTCAAAAATCAGCAATTAACTATGCATTTTGGACCCGCCTAACCAGGGCAGGTTGTTTTGAGTGGTTGGTTGAGTTAGTTAACGATAGTAAATATAATTAATTAACCTGTTTGACACTTTACCGTAGAATAAGACTGAGTGGATATGAATGTTTCTTGATCACGATATTTACAGGAAACTTCCTGGATGATTATTCCAACAAGAGTAATCTCCATATAGCAGTTACAGACAGCAGTGGAGAGGTTTATGAATTTGACAGGTAAATATCATTTACTAAAGTGTGCATGGTAATCCCTTTTAACATATTCTATAGATACAGAGAAGTAATTGAGGGGGGGGGTGCTAGACCAATGAAATCTATGTTATTATTATTTATATATTATTTATTTTTGCTTCAAAAAGAAAATTGAAGGATCAAGCATTTATTCTCGAATTAAAAGATACTCCACATAAAAGTTCTGTTCTCTATAGATTAGGATGACCAAGAATAGTTTCTTTTTACGAATAAACCACAAAAGTATTTTATTATTTCGGCATGAATTGATGAATATTTTAAATTACTCCGTATGCTGTTTGATTACTAGGCAGGGATTACACCGGGATAGAACCTATGACTGGGAGAACTGTCTAGTTCTAGATCTATCCGGAGCAGATCCTTTAGTTCTAGAGATGATACAGGTTTGTTAAATCAATTAAACAGTTAATTTCAAATTTTGTTGATTAAACTGGTCTAATTAGTGGCGGGGATGTTTATTAAACTGTAAATTATAGTTATATATCTAGCCCCGGCCTGCTTCTATGTTTATTGCTCCTTGAGGCTAATAATGAGGGAACAGGGGATTTAAATATTAGGTATTTATGATCACGTCTATCTGATGCTATAAACCTAGGTTCTAATATTTTTAATGATATAAAGTTAACAACTGTACAGTCACAAATGCTGTATCTGACCATTACTAATGGTGCTGCAGATTATTTTGAGAGTGATGTTGTTGATCAGAAAGCAGTTGCTGAAGGTGATGATGGTTACCAGGCTGGTGGTGTGTTGATCATGAATCTGTTTCTGAGTATTGATCGTGAAAGTTGTGATGATGATCTTGAGAGATTCTGTTGATAATAATGTTGGTGCAGTAGAGGATTATCAGCATGGTGCTGATAATCATGAGATAGCTTCTGAGGATTAAACATAAAATTTTTAAGATGATCCTGAGATAATTATTGATATTAGGCTTGCGATAAGAACTAATCATTTGAATATGATGATGATTCAGATATTAATATCTCTTATTTTTGTAAGATCCTGGTTTTAATATCTGCTATTTTTGTAGAATTCTGATATCAATATCTGCTATTATTGTAGGATCCTGATATTAATATCTCCTATTATTGTAGGATCCTGATATTAATATATCCTACTATTGTAGTATCCTGATATGAATATATTCTATTATTGTAGGATCCTGATATTAATATATCCTATTATTGTAGTATCCTGATTTTAATATCTCACTATTATTGTAGGATCCTGATATTAATATCTCCTATTATTGTAGGATCCTGATTTTAATATCTCCTATTATTGTAGGATCCTGATATGAATATCTCCTACTATTGTAGTATCCTGATATGAATATATTCTATTATTGTAGGATCCTGATATTAATATATCCTATTATTGTAGTATCCTGATTTTAATATCTCATATTATTGTAGTATCCTGATATTAATATATTCTGTTATTGTAGGATCCTGATATTAATATATCTCCTATTATTGTAAGATCCTGATATTAATATCTCCTATTATTGTAGGATACTGATATTAATATCTCCTATTATTGTAGGATCCTGATATTAATATCTCCTTTAATTGTAGGATACTGATATTAATATCTTCTATTATTGTAGGATTCCGATATTAATATCTTGTATTATTGTAGGATCCTGATATTAATCTTCTATTATTGTAGGATCCTGATATTAATATCTTCTATTATTGTACGATCCTGATATTAATATCTTCTATTATTGTAGGATCCTGATATTAATATCTCCTATTATTGTAGGATCCTGATATTAATATCTTCTATTATTGTAGGATCCTGATATTATAATATCTTCTATTATTGTAGGATCCTGTTTTTAATATCTCCTTTAATTGTAGGATCCTGATTGGGGAGAATACTGGGATATTTGTTTGAACCAAACAGCAGGATCAGATGCATTTACTAGGTAAATATTTATCTAAAGACTATTACCAATTATTGAAACCATTCACTACTCGCAAATATCTAAAATACATTTTTGAATAATTTTCTAAAATGAAAGAATAGCATAGATATTATACAAACAAAATTAATTTACAGATTTATTTTGTATTTAAAAGAATTTACGAGTTAAAAAATACCATTCTCAACCAAAACACGTAATTGTCCATATGAAATTGTTCTAACATTTTATGAGTTCTCATGTTACCTAATTATCCTGAGTTTTAATTATAAATTGAAGAACTATAGCATGGGAGTAATTACCATTCTACCGTTCTCTCTCCACTACACGTCCCATCCTTACAATTCACAGGGATCAATATTATCTCTAAACATTTTGTACAAAATAACGTTGATTTTTAATTATTGTTGAATTGTTGCGTAAAATAGTTTTATCACGTAGTACTCAGAATTAGATTTTGAGAGGGAGGTTTAAACTGTGGGATAGATTCCCAGGACGTATATTGAACTTGGTTCATGCAGATCTCAGGGTACATTTTACAGTAGGAATCTCATGGTATACTTTACATTAGAAGTCTCAGGGTATTCTTTACAGTAGAAGTCTCATGGTATACTTTACAGTAGAAGTCTCAGGGTATTCTTTATAGTTAGAGTCTCGGGGTATACTTTACAGTAGGAGTTTAAGGTTATATCTTCACAGCAGTAGTCTCAGTGTATACTTTACAGTTGGAGTCTCAGGGTAAACTTTACAGTAGTAGTCTCAGGGTAAACTTTACAGTAGGAGTCTCAGGGTAAACTTTACAGTAGTATTCTCAGTGTATACTTTAATATGTGTTTAAGGTTATATCTTTTACAGTAGTAGTCTCAGGGTATAAGTTACAGTTTGAGTCTCAGGGTAAACTTTGAAGTAGTAGTCTTAGAGTATACTAAACAGTAGGAGTCTTAGGTATACTTTACAGTAGTAGTCTCAGGGTAAACTTTACAGTAGTAGTCTCAGGGTAAACTTTACAGTAGTAGTCTCAGGGTAAACTTCACAGTAGTAGTCTCAGGGTATACTTTGCAGTAGTAGTCTCAGGGTATACTTTGCAGTAGAAGTCTCAGGGTAAACTTTACAGTAGGAGTCTCTGTGTATACTTTACAGTAGTAGTCTTAGGGTATACTTTACAGTAGTAGTCTCAGGGTATACTTTGCAGTAATAGTCTTAGGGTATACTTTACAGTAGAAGTCTCAGGGTATACTTTGCAGTAGTAGTCTCAGGGTATACTTTACAATAGTAGTCTCAGGGTATACTTTGCAGTAGTAGTCTCAGGTTATACTTTACAGTAGTAGTCTCAGGGTATAATTTGCAGTAGTAGTCTCAGGGTATACTTTACAGTAGTAGTCTCAGGGTATACTTTGCAGTAGTAGTCTCAGGGTAAACTTTACAGTAGTAGTCTCAGGGTAAACTTTACAGTAGAAGTCTCAGGGTAAACTTTACAGTAGTAGTCTCAGGGTAAACTTTACAGTAGTAGTCTCAGGGTAAACTTTACAGTAGAAGTCTCAGGGTAAACTTTATAGAAGTTGACATAGGGTACACTTTACAGTAGAAATTTACTTTGTAGTAGAAGTCTTCGGTTATACTTTACAAATCGAGTATTTCATGGTACAACTCACAGAGTTCTTTTTATTATTCTAACCTAACAAACTTAATTGATAAAATGTACAATGTAAGAACACGGTGTGAAACTCGTCTTTTCTGCACACAATAATGACATAAAATAAAATATTTTAAAGAAATATTTTCCAATTCATAAAATCTTTAATTTAATTTTAATAAATTGGTATTGTAGATTTAAATCCTATAAGTATGAATATCACAGATACAATAGTACAATAGAGCTTATTTTTAACTAGATTAAATTTGTTTGTCAAGCAAATACTAGTCCAAGAGCTGATATATACAGCTACACAATACATGATAATGCAAACTTATTGAAACATCATTGTCAAAACTGTTTTATCATCCTTAAAGTCAGTTAAATGTTTGTTATGAAAATGTCAAAAACATCATTAAAAGTTTTGCACGTTTTTAACAATCATAATTATTATTTTTAACCATAAACTAAACAACAATATTAAATAAAAATTTAATTTTAAAATATTGAATTTCTCCAGATCCTGTTTAAAGTAAACAACCATTCAAATATTTACTTTCATGTTATTTAGAAACACATTAAATCAATTTGAACAATACTATGTACAGTGTCGGCCTTTTTATAAATACAATGAAGACGACTTTTCTATTCAAATTTTTATTTCTGACAAGCTTTTTCAAATTACATGTTTACAAGTAAACAAAGAGAAGCTGTTGAGAAGCTGTTAATTGACAGCTTCTCTTTGTTTCCATGTTTATTTGTATCCATGCTGTTTGATAGCTTCGTAGAAATAATTTTTCATCAAAAGTCGTCTTAATTGTATTGATAAATACGACGATGACTTACTTGAATATTTTTGATTATAACCTATGACCTTAAGATTGATACAGGGAGTGGCAATGTACGCTGGATTAGGTATAGATTATACAGGGAGTGGCAATGTACGCTGGATTAGGTATAGATTATACAGGGAGTGGCAATGTACGCTGGATTAGGTATAGATTATACAGGAAAATAGAATCTTTGGATTGATGTAAACAAAGCTAAACCTAATAAACCTCATACTTTACCTTTCAGAGGACGATTATTCGTACAACGACGGCACGGTACAATTTTCAATGAACTTAATTTTTGGGTGATGTATGTTTGACTGTATACTAAACATTCCCAATAAACGTGGGAACCTACTGAAGATGTTAATTAGTCTCCATTCGTAAACCTAGTAACATCGTATTCCCCAAATCCTGAGTTTTCACAAACTAATTTTCCATTTTATAAAATCTTTGTTTTTGGCATCAAACTGATGAGTAATTAAACTGGAAAAGTAAGCGTAGTTTAAAGTTACAATCTATGCAAAAATGGCAATGCCCGATTTACAACGTTACCCTTGAAACCTTAATCTGATCAAAAATGTGGAGGATACTGTCGGTTTTCTGACTCAAAAAGTAATTAAGTTCTTGCAAGCAAAAAAATGCGCGATGTCACTTTTGCAGAGAAACCACAGATGAAAGTAAACAGTTAAAAGAAACAAAAACATGGATATCTAATTTATACTTGATCAGACAAAGCTTTAATGTTTCCATCGTAAATCGAGCACTGCCATCTTTGCACGGAGGATCACATAAAATTATGCTTACAGTCCCTTTATTCTAGAGAAAACTACCACGAGGACGACAACAATTGTTTCAATTTCGTTCTTTCCTTTCTCCTCAGTCTCAACCAGTCTCCTTTCTCAGGTAAATAGTGTCACGAAGCACTCAACCAGTCTCCTTTCTCAGGTAAATAGTGNTTCAGGTTGGGCAGGATCTAAAGTAGATTTCTAATGTTCAGGTTGGGCAGGATCTAAAGTAGATTTCTCATGTTCAGGTTGGGCAGGATCTAAAGTAGATTTCTAATGTCCAGGTTGGGCAGGATTTAAAGTAGATTTCTCATGTTCAGGTTGGGCAGGATCTAAAGTAGATGTCTAATGTTCAGGTTGGGCAGGATCTAAAGTAGATTTCTGTCAGCGTCTAATTCTTCCTAAAACTGTGATGGCGGCTAAATATATCATGCTCTACAGGAAAACTTTTATCAAATATTTATCAAAGAATTGAGTCTTTGAAACATACTCAAATTTCCTAATCCGTATATCTTTGCAACCTGATGGTGTAAATCTTTGATATTTCAAACTTATTTGAGCTAACTGAGTTAGTTTGCACAATCTGAGGTCTACGAGAATTGGTTGCAGAGATTAGAAATCAGAGTTTGTGGCAAAGACTCAATTAGTTGATTTCAATTTTACTCTATTATTAAAAGTATCAAAGGAACAGTCAATGTAATTTCAAAAGACCCTTAATTTAACGTCTTTTATCTGATTTACGATGAGGATGAGCTCATCGTTAATCGGTGTATATGTATATAGATACTTAAAATATAATTTATCTTAATTCTCATTTTTGAAGAGAATAGCAATGAAAATAATCAATTTTTGGAAAGAAAACAGGGAGAACTCTCTAATTTTTGGAAAGAAAACAGGGAGAACTCTGTAATTTTTGGAAAGAAAACAGGAAGAACTTTATAATTAAAAAAAAAACAGGGAGAACTCTGTAATTTTTGGAAAGAAAACAGGGAAGAACTCTGTAATTTTTGCTGAGACACAAGTCTTAAGGGTACCAAATTGTGAATCTGACATGTAAATCTTTAGATGGAGGGTAATTTCAAATTACTACGACACTCCCTTAAAGCAAGAGGAAACTATCTAAGATTTGTTGAAAATCTTGACATTTTTCTAATAAAAGTTTATGGTTCAGGAAAGTGAAAGAAAGCAGTGGAATTATTGTTCAATAGTTCTCTTGATTGTGTACAGTGGTACCAAAATACCGTGGAAGAGGAAGACGACATTTAAGTAATCTTATATGTTTTCATGTTCATTGGACTATCCAAAATCCTTACTTTAGTCTAACAGTCGTCTTTCTTTTCCCCACTTCATAGGTCTCCCAACCAGTTTCCTTATGTTTATTTAGATTAAAAATATATATTTACTTATCAAAACACGATGTCGTTTTCCTGACTAATATGGAGTGTTTATGAAGAAGTAAACGGAATAAAATTTTACAATGTTTTCCGCATAAAAATTTCATTTTCGAACCTTTTAAATTATTCTCTAAAACTAAAATTCACTTTGCACAATTTGTTTGTTGTGCAATATTACTGTTATGAAACTTGCAAAATTGACGAAATACGAAATATCCTCAGTCTTATAATTGTTTAAACATGTAGGAGAATTTGTCTAAATTAACTTAAATATTTTTTCTTTAAACTTTCTGAATGGCCATTTTTCGCAAAAACTAGTTTAAAATACAAACATAAAAAAAATAGTAGGAAAGAATAAAAAGTTACAATATAAATAGATTTTTTATTAACAGGATTGGTTTAATGATTAATCACAATTAAAGATAATTATAATTAATCCCTCCACTCGACAATGTTATTATTGTTATCCTTGTTACAAAGATTAAGGTTTGAGTCCCATCCTGAGTCTGTTATTTATCTCTTCTATAACTGCTGGTAGATCATTAGTTGTTTCTATCACGAAATGAGCTCCAGCCTAAATACGCGAGTTCAATATTCATGCCACTACCATCTACTTAGCACAATTACAAACAAATTGGAACTGAATGAACCACTAAAAGGTCACCCCCCTCCCCCTATGTTGTTCAGCTACCCCCCCCCCCTCCCCTTTTTAGTACTCGGCAATATAATTTTAATAAAGGATTGCAATTGCATAGCAGATTGTAGGCAAAAAACTGTCACAGTTCCTGTCTACAAATATTTGTTAAATAATAATTATATTTGAATTAAACTTTTTCAGATTACGATTTTAATTACGGCTGTATGTATTTATATACAGGGTGAGTTAAAGAAAAGTGTATTAGCGTCCTCTTCTTCATAGCTAATTATTTTTCATGAAATTTTCATTTGATATTTTTGCAATATTTTGGAATATTGTCTTCATTTGTTTGAAACTCACATGGTACCACAGTTTCCGCGTCAAAATTGAAGTGAAGAATAATAAAAGTCTGATAATAGTTAAATGTTATCTAATCCTCAAATTGAAGTGAAGAATAATAAAAGTCTGATAATAGTTAAATGCTTTCTAATCCTCAAATTTCTTTAAGATCGCGGTCTGACCAATTGCGAGATATATTCATAATAATCTCCAACATTTTAATGAATTAGATCCGATTTATTGTTCAGTTGAACATAAAAATAACACAGTTAATATTTGCACATTTATAAAAATGTCCTCTCTTCTTTTGGTGAAATTTTTACCGCTCTAATTCGTAGATCTATTATTAATAGCCTTGTTTATAGACAGGTAACTAGAACAAAATTGCAGATTTTTCCTAAAACGATTTTGCGAATTTTTTCTATTTCTATGAGTCTAATTTTTTTGAAATTTTACGATTAGATAGAAAAACACATTAACACATTTTTGCTTTTCTACACTTTTGACTTTGAGAAGAATAAAGGTTTGCAATTTTTTTGTGGTACATGTGAATATTCAAAAATTCCAAAATATTGCTAAAATTCCATGCATAAGAATTTCATGAATAAAAATTGTTTTTTTAAAGAAACACTGTTTTTGACTCACCCTGTTTATATATACAATACACACGTAACTTTGTGCAAAGTTGCATGTATATATTTATAAAATAAATTTTAAAAAACATGTATATAAACTACATTGCTTTGCAGATCAGTTGAACATGATATGGTAAAATATAATAGAAAATAAGTTTTGTTAAGAAATCGTGAAACATGTCTTCAGCACGTCCCGTAGTTTTTTCTTGTTTAAAGGAATTGATAACGTAATCTCAATTTAATCATTATTTGATAAATCCGGTTCTAGGAATTCTAGGAATTAAGTCTTTACAACAAACTCTGATTTTCAAATTCCTACGTCTTTGCAACCAAATGTTGCAGACTTTAGATATTTTAAAACTTAAAGATTAAATAGTCTAAGTTTACACCACCAGGTTACAAAGATATAGGGATTAGACAATTTCAGTTGTTGGTAAAGACTCAATTCCTTTGGCAAGCCTGGGCTTATTTATTAAGAAGAATCTTTCCGAGTTTTGTCCTATTTCTAAATGAAAGCTGTATTAACTTTACTATAACAAGATTTGGTGTAACCACTTTATGTTTCAAACTAAGGCTATTAGATATAACCGAAACCAGAGCTTGATATATCAAAGGTATACACGGCACCTTGTTGCAAGGATAAAATGATTAGAAAACTTGAGTTAGAGACAAGTTATCAGTTCCTTTACTTGGAACGACGTTGACAATCTCATAAAGATAAAATTTGTCTAGAAAACTAAACTAAAATATTTTCACCATTTAAAAAATAGTTTTAACAACTATGATGAAGATTTGAATATAATCTGAACCTGATAAAGGATCCTGGTTGCATTCTCAACCTTGGCTCTCAGCTCAACAGGATTCATTTCATTCATCTCATCCTCAGTCATCCCAACATAGTTTCCCTGGAGTTCATAACATTTCATTTTATTACAGAGTGTCCCATTAAACATGGGAATTAAGAGACGACTTCTAGATTGTCTTTGTTAAGAATTTGCTTAGTAAAACCTAATTTCAAAAGATAGAATTTAAAGTTTATTCTGCTAAAGTGTATTTTATAAAAGGCTGAAATAAAAAAACACAAAAAATGAATTATTTTTAATTTGCTCTTACTGTTTTAGCAATCCCTACAGTCCAGCATCCAGCATGGAGACCAGCTTCTATACCTGAAGTTGTATCATCTATTTTTACCACAGCCTTAACACATAAGAAATATTAGAAGAAACAAAATATTTAGTTTCTTGCCCATTCTTTCATTTATTGAATTTCTATATAAAGATTAGAAGAACAAAGTTAGACATACGTACGCGTCGTATCCTACTGATATCATATTTGGAGCAGGTCGGCCATTTATCACCTCGTCACTGGTAACATAACTATCAGGCTTGTATCCTTCACTCTCAGCTTGAACCTGGAATAAAAGGGAGAGTTCAGATTTTTTATTGAATCACAAACTTGAAAGGAATTATCAGCCTCATATTTCTACCTTCAATTTTGCCATAATCTCAGAAGTGTATCCTGTTGAGGATCCAATCTTGATTCCATAATCCGACCTTAGTTTAGCCATAGTCTCAGGTACACCTGGAGATATTTTATTTTGGACCTAATCTGAAAGGGAGTGTTCACGATAAATGAAAAGGGTTTTGTCGGAATTAAAATCAAAATAGGTTTATATCGTTACCAATCTTATTTATATTGGACGTCTCTGCAATTCATCTTTTCGGGTTTCTCTGACGAAGGTGGAATTTAGTGAATCCTATATGTTCAGTTTTGAATTTAATAGGAGTGTTCGCGAAAAGTGAAAGGGGGTATAGGCTTACAGCGAAAAATAAGCGCTTTTGATCGCTACTAATCTTACTTCTATCTGTTGCGTCTATGAGGAATAAATGGTTAAAAACAACTCATACCGAAGAACGTAGCGTTCATACAAATTCATAAAGTTGTATACCCCCTTTCATTTTTCACGAACACTCTCTTTAATACAAGAATCATTCCAACTAAACTAAACGAATCCTTGATTTTTTAATTTAAAAAAAGTGATTTTCGTTCTATATAGTTAATAATTTTTTACAATTATTATAAAAGAAAAATAAGGGAATTTTACTTTACCCAGGGTTCCCAAGACTAATCTTGTCTACAAAACAATCATAGCGTAGCAAAGGATGAGAATGAAATTTATCTCACCCCTGATCATCTTAGAATTAGCAGGTAGCAGGTCTAGGGTTGCATCTAAAGATTTCTCATAAATCCTCTCTGCGTCCTGGTTGGTTGGATAGGATCCATGCTTGAGGTTCCATCTCTCCTTAACCTCTGGTATAGCAAGGATACGTTGGATATGTAGCTGAAATATAGATATACAATTGATTTATTAAATTCATGATTTCCATGAAAAGGATGAAATTTCAGAGACGACAAAACAGAGTTTATTTAGTTTTTGTTTATATTTTCATGGATCCCTGTAACTTTTAACTTTTTTCTTTTCTAAATAATTTGATTAAACCTGGACCCGGCTTTAATGATTTTAAAGTTTTTTTTAACGTTAGTAAAGTTTCATTCTTCTTAATATAGTAGAAGATATGGCAACAGGAATTTATCCGAATAAGACTTCCATAGCTACAGTATTGTTCCTAGGCACATACAATCGTCAAACTAAATCCAAAGTTTTGCTAAACAGACTATCATTCTTATCACAATATGTCCGAAAAATTACGAAAGGTTTGATGAAAATCCTGCAAATAAATTATAATATTCAGAAGTTGCTGATTTCTTTCATATATTTTATTTTAGCAGTAGAGAATACTTTTTAAAATATGGTCTTTACCCTTTTATGCACTCCCATTGGTTTTCTTACTTCCTCAGCACTGATTGGAACCCCCTCCTTTTTCAATTACCGAGATAAAAAGAAGAGTTTTCAAAAAAACTTTCATATGAAAAGAACTGAGTTTTTGCCACAAACTTAAATTTTCTAATCCCTATATCTTTACAACGTGATATTGTAAATCTTGGATATTTCAAACTTAGATTATTTGATTCAACAGAATTGATAGTTTGAAGTATTTAAGGTTTACGACATTGGGTTGCACAGATATAAGGATTAGAAAATCAGACTTTGTGGCAAAAACTCAGTTCCTTTATAGGAAAATTTCTGTTTTAAAGGAAATATTATCTGTTAGATCAAATGAGGTTCAGATTCCTGGCTTCAAAAGAAATGTATTGTCTCAAATAATGTACAAAATATATTGTGACTTGTTTTTATTTTGTATAATGTATATACAATTGTTTTGAGTTTGTTAGATTTCATACAAATCCTATATTCAATCTATTGGACTTAATGTGTCATGTCCGAAATACATAACTTGACCATAGATTTTTTATTTATGAGTTTGACAAGTAAACGAATGGAATTAACGCAAAAATTGCACTGTATTGTAAACAAGTGTAAACACAAATACATATTAACAATGCAGTTTATTAATGTGTAATATCAATATACGTAAACATACAAATGTTGTACAATTTCTAATTTTAAATAACAAAGTATACTTGAAAAACACCGTAAGACACCTGAATAACAAAAATATTATACAAATGCAAAAAAAAACTTACAACCTGAATTAATATAGACGCCTATTTATGACTGGAAAACAATATATTTACAGCAAACAAAGGAAATAAATCAATAAAAGAACTGAGTTCATGCAACAAACTCAAATTTTCTTAGCCAGCTAAGTCTTTGCAACCTGATTATGTAAAACTGTGATATTTCAAACTAAGACTATTCAATCTTTTATAATTCATTATCTAAAATATAGAAGATCTTCGAAATTGGGTTGTATAGATAGATAGATTAGAAGCAAGAACACAATGCCTTAGTATTACAAACACGTGATTTCTGAACGATCTCATTCTACAAGTATTACCTAAAATTGTTCTCCATGATGACGGACTGAGACAAGGTTGTGATGAGTGCAGAGGAGAGAATGGAACAGTTCTAGCGCCTACCCGGCGAAAATACAGGATCTTATCAAATGTGGTTAAAAATATATATACAGAATACACATGTTTACGTCTGAACAACTTAAACGTTGGACTTTGATTGTTTAGATAGAAACTAAAAATATTCTGTGATCATTTAAAAATAAAAGTTTTACAGATTTAAGGTGATTTTTTTTACTTTAAAAAAAATGAAATTCCTTGCATGTCCTGAGGAAAGAAGAGGGTGGCACAGAACCAAGTATATACTAGTACTTGATAATCTATTTCCAGAACAGAGATTTGGACATATTCTTTACAATTTCTTCTTTTATAGAGTGTATGCTGAAATGAACTCAGGAATGTCAAGTAAAGCGTAAAGCTTATGCTCAAATGAACTCGGAATGCATGACAGGTTGTCAGATAATTGATCATAGAGTAATAAAACGAAGAGGTAAAGCTTACCTCAGATGTACACAACGGACCTATACAACTGTACAGTGTTATATACGTAAAGATATCGTGATGTAAAAACGTACCTCTCTATTAATTAACTAATTATAGGGAGGTCGGTTGTGTACATCTGAGGTAAGCTTTACCTCTTCGTTTTAATACTCTATGGAATTGATTTAGAGAAAATTTTGTTCCAGGGCACAGATGTGTTAGTACACCTTCAGCATGGAAACAGTACAACAAAATGGCGGTTTTACACTTTTTTTCGTCTTAATTCCACTCTATACTTATCTATTCTGTTTGGATTTCGGACTCGGAAGGTCAGTGAGAGCCAAAATTTGGCACAATTTTTTGTCAATAGCTTGATATACAATTCAAATTTTAAGTTGGCTTGACAATACTTTTCCTTAATCCAGAATTTTTTCAGTTTTTGTATCAAAAACAAATTTTTTAACTTCTCTTAACGTTTTTTCAATCAAAAATCCAAAGCACTATTTACACCATTCAAATTATCATTTACCAGATTCATTAATGTTGTAAAAATAGAAAATAGATTCTGTCTTCTGTGTTAAAATTAAGGTCGCATAATTAGGTTGCTAACTCTTAATGCGCTCCAATGTACAGGAAATGTCGTCTCCTTAGCAAGGAGAGATAAAATCCGTATATGACAACACTGATTTTAGAGGCGAAAGTATGGATCAGTGACGTCATTTCAGAAAGATTTAGCCTCCTTGTAAAAATTCTCATCAATTTTTAAGGCATGGTCGACTTTGAAGTGTCGCAACGCCTTGGGCTTTGATTTTACCACTCTAACTCACTTATTCTTTTCTCAATTCCTTTACATGTAAACATTTTAGCACCTGTAGGACACATTGTTTTTAGCTTTGCTTTTAAACAATTAATTGGCAAAATTATCACAGAATTTAGCTTAAGAGGTTGAGACCTTCAAACCACAGTAATATACTGATTTTATCTCTCTATGCTAAGGAGACGACATTTCCAGTACATAGGAGCGCTTCGAGAGTAAGCAACCTTATCGTACAACCTTGATTCAAATAGATACTACAATTGGAGTGCATCGAGAGTAAGCAACCTTATCAGACAACCTTGATTCAAATAGATACTACAATTGGAGTGCATCGAGAGTAAGCAACCTTATCACACAACCTTGATTCAAATAGATACTACCATACCAAGAATGTTTTTAAGCGTCCCAAAAAGTTCTCATTTCTGATGGTTTACATCCATATATTTATTTATATTTATCAAATGTCGTCTTGACAATTTTTCAATGAGTTTTATACTATTTTACGTAAATCTAAGTATTTGGGAAAATAAATAAATAGCCATGAATATGCAGGAACAGTTTAAAGAGCTCCATATAATCATTTAATTAAAAAACTAAATTATCTGCAACATTCCATTGTCAGAAAATAAAGAATACGACATTTGGTGAATTCTTTTGATGTATGACTTATTTAGGGTTTAACTGTATGTTTTAAAGATGCAATGTTGAAAACTATTTTTGATTTATTTAATAAAACAAGGTTATATGAATATTTTAAACGTTTAAATATTTCAAAGAAGGCCAACGAACAAGTAATAATCATCCTCAGTCCTCACCAACAGGGGCGTATACAGTATTTGGTCCAGGGGGGGGGACAAAACCTTTAAAGTTTTTTATGGGGGATGACCTATTTTTGAAAACATAACCGCAACTTTTAAATTTTTTTGGCAGTCCAGTGTCTTAGCCTTTCGATCATTGAGTACTGAAACCTCCCTGAAAATCATAGTTTTCCGGGCGGGGCTTAGTCCCAAAATATCCACCTCCCCCTCTTTTTACACTTCTGCTCACCAATACAATTTGTTATATAGCACGAACAAAAATTTTACGATAAACACAAAAGTCGTCTTTGCCTTTCTTAGTCTTAAAGACTTTTTGAAATCCCGTGGAAAAAATGCTTTATTTTTAGGTTTATGTTTTGCTGGTTTGTGTTGTACAATGAGAACCAGGAAGATGACATGAAAGCAATAATTTATTGTATTTGATCTTGTAACAAATTAAATAGTTTTACTAGTAACTTATTTAATCACTTATTAAGTGAAATGGGTCTGATTACACTGCACACTGCAAAAGCCCCCCCCCCCCCATCTACTCCTACTCCGCTACTCCTTCTGGTTTAAAGGTTTGAAATATAACTCCAGTAGCAAACCTATCAGACAGGTTTAAAAATAGATGCCTGATCTTGCATAATAATATTACAGTTATTATGCATAGAAAAGGTAGTACCAGGAACCGTAAACTTGGTCTAGTATTTTAAAGTCCGGTTTCAAAGACTAATATACGCTACGACATTTTGGCTCAGGTCATTTTTGCTAGCGTCAATTTTCCTATATGACTTTTACCTGTGAATAACTAACCTGCCCTTCTCGCTCCACCCATTGCACTTTAGCAGAACTATCGAAGCGCCGTTTGTGAGGACACAAAATCAAACAATCTTTTTTTAAATATCCAGCATTTGATTTCACTTTACTCTTACTTAAAATCATGGATAAAAGTTCTATAAATCTGTTTTACAGAGAAATATCAAAAGTTGATAAATCATTTTTCTCCTACAGAACTTTACGAACTCCATCATTCTTCATTTTGACTCCTCTCTCCCATTTTATTCAACTTTTAACTTTTGATGGTCAACTCTAACTCGAACTTTTAAAGAATTCAAGAATTATTCTTTTAAAACGCCTCTTTCCGCGCTAAGGGCAATTCTTACATTTTCGTATAAATATCGTCTAACATACCATCGGAATTCCAATAACTTGAGAAATAGGAGAGCTCCTATGCAGAGGATTAATTTCCAGCAGGTTGTAACTCTAGTGTTCCTACCAACTATATCAGTTTTGTTCACACATGCAACTGTACAATCTACATCTAATCAAACGTACATTGCCAATCATTGAATTCTAAAAAACGGGGAACGGAGAGATGTTATACTTAAAAGTAAGCCGAAGGCGAGGTCTTGGCCAGTATTTTACAATACACTAAAGAGCTAGGTGAAACAGGAAATGTTTAGGTGAAACAAGAAAGGTTTAGGTGAAACAGGGAAGGTTTAGGTGAAACAGGGAAGGTTTAGGTGAAACAGGGAAGGTTTAGGTGAAACAGGAAAGGTTTAGGTGAAACAGGAAAGGTTTAGGTGAAACAGGAAAGGTTTAGGTGAAACAGGAAAGGTTTAGATGAAACAGGAAAGGTTTAGGTGAAACAGGGAAGGCTTGGGTAAAACAGAAAAGGGTTAGGTGAAACAGGAAAGAGCAAGGGGAAACAAGGAAGATCTAGATAAAACAGGGAAGGCCTAAGTAAAATAGGGAAGGTCTAGGTTAAACAGGGAAGATCTAGGTAAAACAGGAAAGGCCTAGGTAAACCAGAGAAGGTTTACGTAAAACTGGTAATGTTCAGGGGAAACACTTAGGTAAGGTCTTGGTGAAACAAGAAAGGTCGTCTAGGTAAAACGGGGAAGGTCTACGTAAACATGGAAGGTCTAAGTAAACAGAGAAGGTCTAAGTAAACAGGGAAGGTCTAAGTAAACAGGGAAGGTCTAAGTAAACAGGGAAGGTCTAAGTAAACAGGGAAGGTCTAAGTAAACAGGGAAGGTCTAAGAAAACAGGGAAGGTCTCAGTAGACAGGGAAGGTCTAAGTAAACATGGAAGGTCTAAGTAAACAGGGAAGGTCTAAGTAAACAGGGAAGGTCTAAGTGGACAGGGAAGGTCTAAGTAAAACAGGAAAGTTCCAAGGGAAACAAGAAAATCTAAATAAAACTAAAATATAGATGTGAAGCAGGAAATTTTTGAAAAAGTGAAGTGGGAAAGAAAGATATTATTGATGATATGAATGCAAAAATAAAGGATTAAGTGAAAGAGCAAAAATATCAAGATCTACATAATCAATTCGAATCCACAGTGATTTGAAATTTGAAACTGTAACTAAGCAATAAAACGAAAGACGTAAATCGAAGGCTGGTCACCTTCGGAACTTGGATTATTACAAAAAAAAAAAAACGTTTACAATATCAATAGATAACATCAAATGATCAATAACGGGTTTTGACCGTATGTTTGAGTGGGTTGAAGAACGTATTGAAGGTGTGCGTAACCACGCATCTCTACGTATACCTTCCGTCAGTGTATAGGCAACAGTGCTATAGTCAGGGTGGAGTCCTGCATATTTCAGAACCTGGTCTGCTTGAAATCCTTTTAATAACATTTTTTTAAATGATCTAATCACTGTGCATTGTACAATTGTTGCCTATTTAGAGCTTACTCAATGTGAACAATTGTTGAAATCACAGAACCGCTGAAGTAAAGAGCTGATAAAATAAGCTATATTAAATAGTTTGTATCAGGATTTATCATAATCTGTGCCCAAGCGGGATGAAGTCTATTTCCAAATGTGAAAAAGTCTATATTTAGTCTGTATCAAGAATTGATGAAGTCTGTATCCAGATGTTGAGTAGTCTGAATCTAGTTTATTTGATGTATACTGTAAGTGTGGTATAGTCTGTATCCAGGTGTGATATAGTCTGTATCCAAGTGTGGTATAGTCTGTATCCATATATGACGAAGTCTGTATCTAGATGTGGTATAGTCTGTATCCATATATGACGTAGTCTGTATCTAGATATGGTATAGTCTGTATCCATATATGACGTAGTCTGTATCTAGATATGGTATAGTCTGTATCCATATATGACGTAGTCTGTATCTATATGTGGTATAATCTGTATCCATTTATGAGGTAGTCTGTATCTAGATGTGGTATAGTCTGTATCCATATATGACGTAGTCTGTATCCAGATATAGGCTGGATGTTTAATTTAGCTGACAACCCGACCAATAAAGTTAAACCTCAAAATATCCTGTATAATTAACACATGTGTTACCCCTCCTATATGCTGCTTCCCTTTTCCCCATCATTGGCTAGATGTCTAATTTAGTTAGAAAAAAGTTACCCCTCATGACACATCCGGATCAAATATCAGATATGCTTTCAGCTGTGAGAAAATTTCCCCTCCTCTACCCCCCCCCCTACCCCCATGCACTCTGTTAACATATGCATATGTTTGTGCATGTCTAATTTTGTGTGTTTGTAAAATATACAAGCTGTTGACTTAAAACTCAAATCTTTTTAGTTTCTATTTTCACCACTAGGTGTCTCTAAAAGTTTTCCGTAAAATTAAAAAAGTAAGAAATTCTAAGATTCAATTTTCTTATTAAAAGTTTATAATTTAGAAGTAAAGATTTGGTTTTAAAATAATTTTAACTTTTTCTAAATATAATAATTTCATTAAGAAAATGCACTAAATTTTCTCTCAGGATGTTTTATATATCTTTTAAGACTCTTTTTTAATATATCAAGTTATCAATTTTTAAATTTATTTTTAATATATCAAGTTATCAACCTATGGCTAGTTCTATGGCAAAATGTCTACACTAAAAATTTGAATCATGTCCGAAAAGATCTGGTCATGGGCAACCTCTTAGAGGCGCTTATCAATGACGTTCTTTTATCTGAGTGACATCTAAATGCTGCTAATTCAAATTGAAGTGTATTTACATCAGATTTTTAAATTAAAAAAGCTAGCTTTAATCAACCTAAAAGAGACTAAATAAGTTAGCAAACTGTCCAAGCTGTCAGCTAGCAGCTGCAGCTACTAAAAACAAACAGATGGCAACAAGATGATTTATGATGGGGGGGTAATGCACAGAGGGGGGTATGAAACCCGACCCTTTCTGTTTTGAGGTGTAGCTAGATTGTTGGTAATCGAGGCCCAAAAAGTCAGAAACACTACTTATGATTCATGTACTTTTAGTCTACTAATTCCGCATGATAAAAGTCAACTTTTAGTCGGATGAGGGTGACTTGAGGTTTTACCGGGTAGTCTGTATCCAGATATGACATAGTCTGTATCCAAATGTGATGTGGTTTGTATCCAATTATGATATCGACTTTATAAAGATTGGATATTGTCTGCATTGAAATGATATATGGAATATAGCCTGTATCAAGATGTGATATAGTCTGAATAGTCTGTATATGTGATGTAGTCTGAATAGTCTGTATATGTGATGTAGTCTGAATAGTCTGTATATGTGATATAGTCTGAATAGTCTGTATATGTGATTTAGTCTGTATCCTGATGTAATGTTGTCTGTATCTAGATATCTGTATGTGATGTAGACTGTTTCTTTCATCTACAATATGTATCAAGATGTTCTAAACTTAAAATATTTAAATTAAATCAATATTGTAATATGTAGATATTGGATATGATTTAATATTGCTGTAAGTAAAATTGATATTTTAGCTAAAAATAACTATACAATTCTATGCAAAGTTAGATCCCTGTAATAATTTCTGGCATTGTGAGCCACGTCTCATATTGGAGTTTGTTTCATTCGCACACATTATATGAAAACCCCGTTTAGCTAATTTTAGAGCTGAAAACTTTAGAATTATAGATATCGAGATCTTGCTTGATGTCCTCTTTTTATAAATCTGCAGATTAGTTTTATCTTAGATTGATATCCAGAAAAGTGTCTAAAATGCAACCAATTAGAGTTCTGATTGCAGAAACCGAACACCCAATCAAAAGCCCAGAAATTTTGCTCGCAATTAATCATAGAACTCTCATTGGTCGGAACCGAACAGAGATGTCCGAAAGAGAGGATTAAGCAATAATTCAAAGCTGTCCACAGTGGATATCAAGATTTAGCAATCAGGATTTAGGGTATCCAAAGCAAAAGGGTTTCAGCTCTATTCTAATATTTGGATATTTGACCCATTATAGCCATGACCTTCATTACAAATCCGAATTATACGCAATGTAATATGTGTCCCCTGTATATGGTAATATAGTGGTGTAAACAGGATACTATAGGAGAATTATATTTACATAGCAGAGGTCTATTGTATTCAAATATTTGAGGCAATTTATTCTTTGTATTCATCTCAGTAGGGTTCAAGTTTTAATCTTAGTTATTCTTAACAGAATTATAGAAATATTGAAGGATATCTTAAAAATTACTCAAAATGTCAGAAATACAACTTACATGATGAATAAATGGATTGAATAGGGATGGTGGAAACATTATTTAACATATTTTAAAAAATCTCTTTAAAATTTCAACGTTTTATCGCACCTGCATTGAGGGTAGAGATACTTAGCTTTAAAATTAACCTTGAAAAGGAAAATGAAATTCAACGGAAAATGTTTATTGTCATGAATTTTTTAAAGTCCAATATAGAGGGACACAGAGTCCAATATAGAGGGACACAGAGTCCAATATAGAGGGACACAGAGTCCAATATAGAGGGACACATAGAGTCCAATATAGAGGGACACAGAGTCCAATATAGAGGGACACAGAGTCCCATAGAGTCCAATATAGAGAGACACAGAGTCCAATATAGAGGGACACAGAGTCCAATATAGAGGAACACGTAGAGTCCAATATAGAGGGACACATAGAGTCCAATATAGAGGGACACATAGAGTCCGATATAGAGGGACACATAGAGTCCAATATAGAGGGACATGTAGAGTTCAAAATAGAGGGACACGTAGAGTCCAATATAGAGGGACATGTAGAGTTCAATATAGAGGGACACATAGAGTCCAATATAGAGGTGTTTTGAAATTAGGCATTTGATCTATTCCCATTTTACTATATATAATATGTACAATTGCTGCGCGCACACACGTATGCATGCCTGGATCCTGAGTATAGCTTCAGTAAGGCTTAAACCAACCATGGACGCTGATGTAAACTTACTTGATTTCTTTCTTAATAGATGACATTCGTGTAAGTAATTATATGAAATCATTATAAAAATTGTTCTTATCAATGTTATATTGTTGCTATAATACTTCAATCTATTTCAGTTAAACATCCAAACTCTTCTACCAAGTTTAACATCATCTGAATAAAGAATTAAAGAAAACACAGTTTATATATGGAGAGTAGTTTGAAACCGGTCATTCCAAGGGAAATCAATACAAGAGGGACACGTAGAGTACAATATAAAGGGACACGTAGAGTCCAATATAGAGGGACACATAGAGTCCAATATAGAGGGACATGTAGAGTCCAATATAGAGGGGCATGTAGAATCCAATATTTCTAATTTCTTTATATAAAATATACTGTTATGAAAAGTTGAACACATTTTTAAGACTGGATCTACTTTGAAGTGTCGCAACGCCTCTTGGTCTTTGATTTTGTCTCACTAACTTTTTTATAGTTCTAGACATGTACATTTCAGTACTCTAAAGCATTTTTAGCTTTCGTTTTTAGAAAGAAATTGGCAAATTTCTCACTGTTTTTTTTTCATGAGAGCGTGGAACCCTCATTGTTTACATGATTATTGCTTCAAATATGCTTAAATAAAAATATTTTCAGGTTAGGAAACTCGATGAAAAATGAAAGGGGAAGATAATGACGGGTTTGAATTTTCAAACACTCAAGCAGTTACCAACAACAACACATCTCAAGTAAGAATTCTAAGTTGGGTGGCCGGGTTGACTGGTATAGGGAAAACTCCAGGGAAAGCTGGGTTCCCAAGCTAGTATATATATTATTGTATTATAAATCCTTTTATTATTATATTGCATTATTATCAATATTAAAAGTCCTTTCATTATTCATGAACCCCTGGACCGGTTTTGATTGTATATTAGTATATTATTAGTATATATATAAAAAGTAGTAATCTCTGTTTGTTTGTAAGTACGTTCATAACTCATGTACCCCAACTTTACCGATTTGCAAAATATTTCAATAGTGGAATTCGTTAGAACAACGGGAATGTTCTTAGCTTGTTTTTAAAAAAAAGTTCATTTGGTCGACTGGGTTCCAATTGCTAGCATTATAATAAAATATCATTATCAATCATTACTCTCTAAAATAATCATTTAATGAAGGAAGCTAAAACTCCTGAGCTGTCAGATTCTGAGAAGCGGAAAGCTAAGTTTCTGATTTACAAGAATGTTTTACTTATCTCCGCATCCTTCCTTCTTCTCTTCGTTGCATTCGAGTCTATGTCTAAACTTCAATCTTCTATAAACAAGGTATTATCTAACTATTTCTCTTCATCAATTTTTATCTTATTCATTTTTGAAAATTAACAATCTGCAATTCCACCAGCCCTGATTTTCTAACCCGTATATCTTTGCAACCCAATATCGTAGACCTTATACTTTTTTTAAGTATAAAATTGTGTTGGATCAAATAATCTAAGTTTGAAATATCAAAGGTCTATAGCATCAGGTTGCAAAGATCTAGGGATTAGAAAATCTGATTTAGTGTCATAGATTCAATTCCTTTTCGAAGATTTTTTTCAGAAAGATTGTATTTTTGTTTGCTGCAGGTGCAGAACCTTGGAACCTGGGCAAATGCTATGGTTTACGCCAGTCTTATATTCTCCTGTATGTTTCTTCCTTCAATTCTCATCAAGAAACTTGGGGTAACTTTTTAAACAAATTATTTGAAATTTTACTCGTTCTTCTTTATATTAATATCTTTAGTGGTCTGTAAAAAAAGTTAGAATGGACAAACTAGTGATAACAAGACCTGGAGAACTATTCAGAATTCATTAGACCTGGAGATCCATGCAGGATTCAGTAGACCTGGAGGAACATGCAGGATTCAGTTGACCTAGAGATCCAAGCAGGATTTAGTGTACCTGGAGTAACATGCAGGATTCAGTAGACCTGGATAACTATGAAGAATTCAGGAGACCTGGAGAACTATGCACGATTTAGAAGACCTGGAAAGTGGAGAACCATGCAGGATTCATTAGACCATGCGGGATTTAGTAGACCTGGAGAGCCAGGCAGGATTTATTAGACCTGGAGAACCATACAGGATTTAGTAGATCTGGAGAACCATACAGGATTTAGTAGATATGGAAAACCATGCAGGATATAGTAGATATGGAGAACCATGCAGGATATAGTAGATATGGAGAACCATGCAGGATTTATTAGACTTGGAGAACCATGCAGGATTCAGTAGACATGGAGATCCATGCAGAATTCAGTAGAATTGGAGAACCATGCAGGATTTATTAGATCTGGAGAACCATGCAGGATTTAGTAGATCTGGAGAAACAAGCAGGATTCAGTAGACCTGGAGAAAAATGCATGATTTACAATTGAACTATTGTTGCGGAAAACCTGGGAAAAATAAGAAAACAGCGAACTCGGAGACATACAACACAAAGAGAACTGTTGAACTATAGAGAAACAAAATCAGAAGACCTAGAGAACCAGAAGGTATAAAACCAGAACTCATGGAGAACAAGAAGACAAACAGACAATGGAGAGAGAAAACAGTGTGAGCAAGCGAAAATAATCGGCAGACAGTCCTACACATTAGGCGACAATAAAAAAGCAATAGATAAAACTATCCGGCCGTTAGATATATTCTATTTTATAAAAAAAAAGAGAGTAGCAAGTGTAGATACGTAATAACGAGACAGTTATTCTCACAGGGTCAAATATCGGGGACTACCCCTCCTCTGGTACTAGAAAAGGGCTCGGAGTAGACCCAACTTGAAATCCAGATGGGGACTTTCCCTCCTGGTACCAGAAAAGGACTCGGAGTAGAGCCAACCTGAAATCTACAAATCTAAAATTCCAACTTTAACATTTATTGCTGAGAAGACCTGTATTTTAATCTTATGATTAAACCTTTTACAAATGTTTCTTTTTGAGATTGCTTTTAATCTTCAAATCCAAATTGCACCAAAATCTTAATTCCGGTCAATACTTTAAAACTTGCAGTTTATATGGACATATTGAAAGAATTTATGAAGAAAAAAATTGTTTTTGTTTTAATTTGAATTGAAGTAGTTGTAGTATAATAACCGCCCCCCCCCCCTCCTTACAGGAAAAACTAGCCAGTTGTTATGCTGTAATCTTTGAAGAATTCTAAACATTTACATTACTAGGCTTTTAGGGCGCTTCGCGCCCATCTTCTATTTCAATTGTGAAAATGTTCTCTTTGAGTACATTGTAAAACAAAAACAAACAAAAAATTTCGTGGATTTTTTTAACAAAAATCAAATTTTGTTAGAGGCAAATTTTTGAAAATTTTATCATCCATAAACCTTCCCTGGGGTGACGCTAGGTCCCACAAATATTGGGCCCGATCGGTTCAGCCGTTCTGACGTTTATTGGATACAAATGGACAGATATACAGACAAACAAACAGACAGACAAGCAAAGTATATATATAGATGTTCCATGCCATGTAATCCCTATTGTACGGACTTTTAAGAACATTTAACTGATTATGTCATAATATAAACACTGCAATATAATACACAATCAAACCATTAGATGATAGAAGAAGGATAGATAGATAAAAGAACTAAACACTCGTCGCAAACTCTTATTTTCTAATCCCAATAGCTTTGCAATCTGATGGTGGAAACCTTTGATATTTCAAACTTTCATTATTTGAAATATGTAAGGTGTACGACATCAGGTCGTAAAATATTATATAAATGTAAATAATCTCTAACCTCCTTTCATGACGTCTTTTGTTTTCTTGTGATATCATACGCCATCTTATTTTATTTTATTTTACAATTAGAATCAATTTGTTGTTGTTGTTTAGGTAAAGTGGAGTTTGGTTGTATGTGTATTCTGTTACTCCTCTTATATAGCTGCACAGTTCTACCCGGAGTTCTATACTCTCATCCCAACTGCATTCGTCCTAGGTCTAGGAGCTGCTCCCATGTGGTCTGCTAAATGTACTTATCTAACTCAGACTGCAAACAGGTATTCTAAACATGCAATTTACAGTTACATTCTTCAGGTTTTAGCGTTAAACTTCTGTCGAGCTCATTTCAAAGAAATTAGTTTTTGAGCAGACATTTCTCCGTTTTGGTTTTGGTTAGGAAAACAAAAGAAATGATCAATCGCTACAAACTCTGGGTGCCTTATCTTTTCCTTATAACTTCGGTTCCTGCAGATGTCGTATACATCTTTGATAATTAAAACTATAAGTTTTGCTTGATTAAATAGGTAAAGTTAGAAATATGAAAGGTTTACACCATCAGGTTGTTCAGCTTCGTTGGTTGTTTAATACCTTTAAAATGATAATATTTAATACGGAATTGGTTTTTGCTTATAATACATTAACTATTTGTTTAAAGGAATTGAAGTTTGCCACAATCTAAAATTCTTAAATTCCTATTTCTTTGCAACCTGATGGTGTAAACCTTTGATATTTCAAACTTAAATGATTGAAATATCTAAGGTTTACGACATGCATTGGATTGCAAAGATAGATTAGAAAATCACAGTTTGTAACAAGAACTTAGTTCCTTTGTAAAAAAAAGTATTTAGATTAGCAGAGATAAACGAGGAGGAACCTGAACCCTATGTTGTGAAATTTTTTGGTATTTTCTTCTTCTTCTTCCAGTGCAATTCAATCATTGGAAATATTATCAGTACTGCAGGTATAATTTATATGCTTAGAAATTTATTATTATTTGGAAAATTTAAGATCAAATACACTTTTAGCAAAACTATTTGTTAAAAAATGTTAAATAAAAATGTCAAAAAAAATGTGAAAACTACAAATATCTTTATGATTTTTCGATATTTTATTATTGAAGTTTCAATTAAATAAACGAATTGCTTTTGAGAATGATTTGATGTATCAAGAGCAACTTGAATGCCCATATACGTACAACGCCTTTAAATACTTTAACTTTGAATTGTTTACTCTAGTTCTCTCGAATGACAGAAACAAGACTGTAAGTGTAAGTGAAGAAGATATGAAAAGCTGTGGAGCAGCATACTGTCCTGCCTCCCTGTCTTCTGCTCCACCTACCGTTAACATCACTGAGCTTGAACCTGAACCTGGAAACACTAACTTTGATACTAGCTTGAGCAGTATCTATACCCTAGCAGGGATATATCTGGCTTGTTCTGTAACAGCTGCTCTAATTATCGCTATATTTGTGGATCCTCTAACCAGGTGCGATGTATATATTGTATATTTCGAACCCTTGAAGGGACTGTAAAGGAAAAATTAAAGGGGGTATAGGATGAAACCTAAGAATCTCAGGCGTTGAACGATACATACAAGACATCTATCTGATGTTCCTGTCTCGTGAAATTAATATAAAACTGTGTCAAATTTATACGAAAATTCATATATATGGAATTTTGTATAAAAGTTGTAGTGTTAAGCAGATCATATTCAACAAATACGAAACCAATCTGAAAACGATTATATCCCACAGGAGCCTGAGAACAAAGAGAATAGAATATATATTAGAGGGGAATTTAGTGAATCTCTCGGTATGAATTTTTTCAGTCCCTTTCAGCCTGAAAGGGAGTTCAAAGTGTACAAATCATGTAAATGTTCACAAATTATATGCAGTAGAGTACATTAATACAGTATGTTCCCTAGACTATCCATTTCAATTTCGAATTTTTTAAACTGTTAAATAAACTTTATAATGAATTAGGTGAATAAAAAACATCATTTGATTTATAGTTATAACGGAAAATCATCGTTTGTAAAGTGAAAGGCATAGAGTCTATGTGAAATGAATCATGGTCAATTATGAAACCAGCCTATTTCATAATTTGGTTTTCTTTTAATATTAATTTTAGATTTTCTATAAAATGATGTTTCAGGGCCCAAAAGGTTATATAGCATAAATATGTGAAGTACACCTGCAGTATGGAAACAGTACAACAAAATGGCTATTTCACACTTTTTTCTAGTAAATTCCACTCTAATATATATTCTATTCTCTTTGCCTGAGAATCATAGGTTTGCCCCTATTATAATTTTTTAATTTTGATTTTGCATTTTGTAAAGATAAAATTATTACATATAGTTCGTATAGTCCGTATTACGTCATTAGAACTTTAGTCAATGACAGTGCAGTATCGTTGTCATGTGATACAGACGGAAATCACATGACCAGTATACTGCACTGCCATTGGCTGAAATTCTGGTGACGTAATACGGACTATACGGATGAAATGTAATAATATTATTGATTATATCTATTAAAAATGAAAAATAAAAATTAAATAATTGAAACAGGAGCAAACCTGAGATTCTCAGGTTTCTGTAGGTCATAGTTTTTTCAGATTGGTTTCGTATTTGCTGAATATGATCTGTTTAAACCTACAACTTTTATACAAAATTGCATATATATGAATTTTCGTATAAATTTTACACAGTTTTATATCAATTTCTCGAGACAGGAACATGTGTCATTATCATTCAACGCCTGAGATTCTCAGGTTTCATCCTATATCCCCTTTCATTTTTTTCCCTTTACAGTCCCTTTAAAGGGAGCGTCTGGCTAACATTGTAAATGAGCTGAAAATGCAGTATTGATTTTTTAGGATTCTTTTGAGATCTATGATATGTTTTTCCAGTTTATATTTCTTCAACAAAAATTCAATCTTTAAATACCTCAATTGTTCAATTTGGAGGGATGATTTTCAGAATCGTGTTTTTAAAATTTTTTTTGAATGTAACAAACTAAAAAAGTTGTGAATAGACAGGTTGAGAAAATAAAAATCCACTCTTATCATCGAAAATAAGTAATCTTATTCAGTAATTGGTTTCTGTCTGTAATGTCTCCTTTTTACAAACATTTTCTGTAGATTTTCTGGAACTTTTATTGACAAATTCATAGAATAAAAAATTCAATATAATGATGAAAAGAAATAATTGATTCTAACATTGATTTATTGAGAAATTTATATTGATAAATATGTTCCTAAACATCTAATAAGTTTATTGTCGAATTTTTGCTACAGTTTTCGTTGTTGTTATTGAATAATTTTTTTTAAAATTTTAAATCATCCCTCCAAAATTCTCGCCAGACACTCCCTTTAAAGGGAATGTTCAGGTTTTTGACTGGATGGAAACCATTGAAGTTGTAACTCCATCAGGTTGCAATGATAAAAGGGTTCAGGCAAGCTCCTAGTCGCAACCTTCAGGTACTTTATTTAAGTACTAGCTTTAGAAACCAGCATTGTCCAGGGTACTCATAGTTACTCTCGCCGTTTACCCGCGTTTGGACGTAAATTAGCTATTTTCCCTATAAAAGAGGACCTCAACTTAGAATCTTAAAACCAAGCTAAGAACATTCCTGTGCAGTTCTCATCCACGATCAAAATCGGTTTGGGGGTTCATGAGTTATGATCAGACATACAAACAGAGATTACAACTTTATATATATATATATATATATAGATAATAATAGTAAAGATTTCGGGTATTTTCTCCAGAAAACTTCTCAATCTAACGTTAAAAAGGAATTAAGTCTTTGCAACCTTTGATATTTGATCTAACGGAACTCGTAGTTTTAAATATAAATGGTCTACGAAATTGGGTTGCAAAGATATAGGGATTAGAAAATCAGAATTTGTGACAAAAACTCAATTCCTGTACTTAAATTTGACATGAAGTACGAACTTGACGTGAAGAATGTTTAGACATATGAGGAAACCCAAGCAGCTCCTGATGATACCTCTCACCTTCTGGTCTGGGATAGAGCAGGGATTCTTCGGAGCAGATTTCACAGCGGTAAACAGAACTATAAAAATAGAGCTCGACATTATTATGCAGATTGTCAGCTAAAGGGAGCTTCGCGCCCTACTTTTAACTTGCAATACTTTATATGCTTGACTTTTTGGTATAAATTTTAAAACAATACATCTTCTTTTTTATGGCGAATTTAAAATTTTTTTAAGTAAAACAATAATTTGGATAAACATTTTTGAACTTACCGCGGTCATAAGCTTTTCCTGAGCTTATGTAAGGTCCTGTCTCAAAATTTGAGTTAAATTGGTCTTTAGCTTTACGTTTATAAACAACAAAGCTCACAAAAAATCCCAAAACAAGCTAAATAAATATATTTTATTGGAATAAATAGAATCCAAACAGCAGAGCTAGAACAAAAATAGAGATGGTCAACTATAAGTTACTGCTTTTTTAACAAGGACAATTCTAACTTTAGAATGATGATATTAAATAGTGTTATCAAATATTTCTAGGGCTTTGTGACGTGTGCCTACGGAGTTCATATTATTGGCCGAGTTCTAATCTGTTACGGAGTATTTGATGCAATCTCCTCGGTTGGGTTTGGTTTTATCATCAAACTAACAGGACGCGTCCCTATCTTCATCCTGGGAGCTCTGATCAACATCTCTATTATTATAGTTATGTTTACCTGGACTCCTACTCCAGGATCTCAACCTGGTGAGTAATATAGTTCATTTAAAGCACATTCAGATCCAATCTTTTTCAGATTAGAACTTCTAAACCTTGATGATACATATAAACTAGGTGTTCTATCTTTTATGCATAAATACTTTTATGAAATTACCTTCCAACTTCCTTCCATGATATGTTTAATTCTTTAGCTGAACCAAATAGAACAAAATCATATAAACTTGAGCGGGTTCTTTTTTAAACGCTAGAATGTTTTCCTTCCGCTTTATTTTCAAAATTATGGAATTCGACTGAATTAGAGCTTAAAGAAACTAAATCTGCAAAACTGTTTAAAAGAAAAATCTTCAAAAACTATTTAGATAGTTATGCAAGTAAAGAAAATAACTGTTTTTCATGTGGATAAACTTAATCTTTGATATCTTCTTCACCCTGTAGTTAATAAACATGATTCTAATAATATATGTTACCCTCTGTTACAACCCTTCCACTGAGTACCCACCCTTTCCCTTATACTTTTTCACCCCCTCCTTACCTTATTCCTTATTTATCATCATCGTTTTGTTTAAAATGTACACTGTACAATGTACATCCATCTATTTATTTACAATACTTATTCGCTTATAATGGGCAAACCAATCAACAACCAACTCTGGTTAGGCGGGTCCAAACTTCATAGTAAATTGTGATTTTTATTTGTATTATCTTGTGCTTTGTAGTTGAATAAAAATATGAAAATATGAACCTGGAACAAACTTTCAGAAAATTTTGCTTATGTCGTAGGGGGAAGTCAAGCCGCATCCGTATAGTGTCCATCGTGCAATGACTCACAAACATATAGTCGCGACACTGCGCTTCCTAGCCGCACTCATAAATCTTCCGGCAAAATGTCTTTATTTTTAAACGCTTATTTCCTGTTTTAAAAAATATGTTGTGCATACCTAGCCCTACTGATGTTGATATCCTCAAAAAATGTTTTTGAAGGTAGAGAGAAATTCAATCTTCACCAGAAATGACGCAGATTTGCGTGCGATTTGATTTAACATTATCTAAAATAAGATTTATAGATAGATAGATAAAAAATTTTAAACCGAATTGTTCGCAAAATTGGGTTATTTCTGGTGAAGATTGAATTTCTCTCCCCCATCAAAAACATTTTTTGAGACATCTAATTTATAATTTATCAGACAATTCTTTAAATGGTGCCATTTTGAATCCGGCATTGCCATCTTTGCGTGAAGGGTCACTTAAAATCACGCAAACAGTCCCTTTAAAAAGAATTTATCTTTATATTTGTTCAGTTGTGTATGTGATAGCGGCATTCTGGGGAATTGCCGATGCAATCTGGCAAACCCAGATAAATGCTTTGTATGGAAATATATTCGCATCTGATGAAGAAGCAGCTTTCTCAAACTACAGACTCTGGGAGTCCCTTGGCTTTCTTGTTGCATTCGTTACACAGGTATACAGACTCCAGCCCACAGTTTAAGAGACGTCTTGAAGGTCGTCTTTGATCGTTGCTAGCTATCTAATGACAAAAATATACATACGAATGTCTTCTTTTATTATATAGATATCATATATTTTAGCCAATATCCATTTATTACCTTAATCATGTATCTAATGCCCATTTTTACTATAACCCTGTATCCTGTATCCATAAATATGGTTATGTATCCTAGGCGTGTGGTATGTATAGCCCAAAGATCCTAGGCGTGTGGTGTATTTAAAGCCCATAAACTGATCCTATATCCATGTATTTAATATGATTATGTATCCTTGGCATGTGGTGTATGTGTGGCACATAAACTGATCCTTTATCCATCTTATTTAATAGGATTATGTATCCTAGTCGTGTGGTCTATGTGTGGCACATAAACTGATCCTATGCTATCCATTGTATTTAATATGATTATGTATCCTAGGCGTGTGGTGTATGTGTGGCACATAAACTGATCCTGGCTATCCATTGTATTTAATATGATTATGTATCCTAGTCGTGTGGTCTATGTGTGGCACATAAACTAATCCTATATCCATTGTATTTGATATGATTATGTATCCTAGGCGTGTGGTGTATGTGTGGCACATAAACTAATCCTGACTATCCATTGTATTTAATAGGATTATGTATCCTAGGCGTGTGGTCTATGTGTGGCACATAAACTGATCCTATATCCATTGTATTTAATAGGATTATGTATCCTTGGCGTGTGGTGTATGTGTGGCACATAAACTAATTCTATACCCATGTATTTAATATGATTATGCATCCTAGGCGTGTGGTGTATGTGTGGCACATAAACTGATCCTGGCTATCTGTTCTCTATTAGTTGGTATCAGTGGATACCTCGTCGTAGAAGTTATAGAGAGGAGAAACAAGAGAAGAACTGATTAAGAAGGAGGAGATATGGAGAGAAGGAGGAGATAAGGAGAGAAGGAGGAGATATGGAGAGAAGGGGAACGAGAAAGGGTGATAACGAACAAAGTAGAGAAAGAAAAGAGAGAATGAGAGAACGAGAGAAAATGATAATTAATAGAATAAAAGGTAAAATGCAGAGAGAATGAAAAAAGAAGAAAGTAAGAAAAAAGGCGTACAAAAGATTTACAATTATATGAAAATATGAGAGAAGGAGAGAATGAAAATGGCGAAAAAGAGAAATGGTGCATGAGATTATGAGAAGGAGAGAAAAAAAGGAAACAGGAACAAGAGCGAAAAAAGAGAAGGAGTATACAAAGAAAAGAATAAGGATGGATTACTATAAACATTGATAATTAAAATGGATCTTTTAAAGAAAAAATAGACAAAAATAGAAAGGAACTAAGTTTTTGCCACAAACTCTGATTTTCTAATTCCTTTATAAATGCAACACAATGTCGTAGACCTTTGATATTTAAAACTATGAATTCTGTTAGATCAAAGTTTAAAATATCAAAGGTTTACAACGTCAGTTTGCAAAGATATAGGAATTAGGAAACTTGAGTTTATGAGAAAAACTCCATTTTCTGTTTCCAATCCCATAGCTTTTAGCGTATATCAACATTTTATCATACTGTAGTGAAGAAGATAAACGTTAAAAACACTTTGTAAGCTTTAAAATTTATATGCTGAATTTATTTCTAAAATTTTCCTAATAATTTGGTGATCAATGAAATTTTAAAACTGTGATTTGAAAAAAATAGTCATTTATGTAAATAGTGCTGCCATGTACATATACAATATACAATATACAATATAAATAATGTTAAAAGTACCTTATTTACTAGACTGTTAAAACCTTTTTATTAATAAAGATATCAATATTTTTGTATTTATTATTTTGAATTTTAAATCTTTCGTCAGGACGCCAACGCCTTTCTGTTGACGTTTTAAAATGAAAAGTTGACAACTATGTACAATATACGTTCATGTTACCAACAAGAACAATATATGTTCATGTTACCAACAAGAACAATATATGTTCATGTTACCAACAAGAACAATATATGTTCATGTTACCAACAAGAACAATATATGTTCATGTTACCAACAAGAACAATATATGTTCATGTTACCAACAAGAACAATATATGTTCATATTACCAACCAGAGCAATGTATGTTCATGTTACCAACAAGATCAATGTATGTTCATATTACCAACATTAGCAATGTATATGTTCATGTTACCAACAAGAGCAATGTATGTTCATGTTACCAACAAGAGCAATAAATGTTCATGTTACCAACAAGAGCAATGTATGTTCATGTTACCAACAAGAGCAATATATGTTAATGTTACCAACAAGAGCAATGTATGTTCATGTTGCCAACAAGAGCAATGTATGTAAACTCCAGTTCTTCTCCTTTCATCCTGTAAACTCCAGTTCTTCTCCTTTCAACAATTAAAATCCATTTTTTCTCCTTTCATCCTGTGAGCTCTAGTTAATTCTTCTCGTTTCAACCATTAAAATCCAGTTCTTCTCCTTTCATCCTGTAAACTCCAGTTAATTCTTCTCCTTTCAACCATTAAACTCCAGTTCTTCTCCTGTGTAACCTGTTAACCCCAGTTGTACTCCTTTCAACCTGTAAACTCTAGTTTTTTACCTTTCATCCCGTAAATTCCAGTTCTTCTCCTTTCATCGTATAAACTCCAGTTCTTCTCTCATCGTATAATTCTACTCATGATACAAAAACCTTTGCGTGTCGCATAAAAGATTGTACGCTTTCCTCTCTCGTATTTTTACAACCTTTTCCTGTTTGAGTGACAGTTGGTTTAATTTTATCTAAACTATCGAGCTCATGTAAGTTTTCAAACAAAAATACATTTATCATAGTTTCATCCCTTCTTCGGCCCCACTCTTATCTACCCCTCCAGGGGTGTATACGGGAAATGGAAATTTGGAAACCTATATTCCCAGTCCCTGCACAAACTCCTGTATACGCCCCTGAGCCCCCTCCTTATCTTTTTTCCAATCCTGTTTCTTCTCCAGACCCCCTTTAATTCCTTATCTGCTATCCTCACCCCAGGACTGGAGTGTGGCAGTTCCTTATCAATATCTGAAGCATGAGTGGTATTAATGGAGAATTCCTAAGGTATAATGGTTCGGAATGTAGGTTCGTTATTACTCTAACGTAAGAAAGCTCTGCTTTGCTTGGAGGAACTGGCGCAAAATCTCAAGTGTTTTAAAGCCCAAATGTTTTTTATTTAAAGAAATCATTTTAATGTTTTCGACAATTAGGCAACGAAAAGGCTGCTACACGTGTGGTTTTATCTCTAAATAATGCAGGTTGGTTGGGACAGGTTGAGTTCCTACATTCCAAGCAACAGGTTCTCTAGGTAGGAAATCCTAACGACTTCAGGCCGGCAGTTTAAACAGGACGCGGGAACCAGATATATGTATACCCTGATTACAGGCAACCCACCTGGGTTTAGTTCAGTGCTATAGTTTCTACCGGATACATTTATTAAACCCAACACAGTGAATCCGGGTTCGTTGTTTAACAAAACCAGGCTGGAAAATAGAAATATTTTAGGTTTCTTTTCTTCCTTCTTCTTAAACTTTAGCACTGTAATCTCTTCGCCAGAGACAGAATTCTAAGATTTTAGAAAACCAGCGAACCAGGTTAGGGGTAGAGAATAGGAGAGGAAGAACGAGAAAGGGTGGGGGCGGCGAGAAGGGTTAGAGATAAGGGGAGGAGGAAAGGGAAGAAGAGTCAAGGGTAGAGACAAAGTGTATGACGAAAAGACATTAAAAAAGGGAAGAGGGTTGAGAAGAAGAGAGAATATTGTATTGAATAGTGGTTTTCTAGTTTCAGATAATATTGTGTATTTGGATATTTGCATGACCATATACAGAGTTTCCCACAAAGGATGAGACTTAAATGACGACCTTTTAACATGAAGAACTGAAGGTTGAATATCGTTTCAAATCATGAACACAGACTTTAAATTGTAAACTTTTAGATTTGGCAAATAAGAAAAAAACAATTAACATCTGCAGAAAACCATAAATGTCAGGAAAAAGACAGAATAATTTCCCAACAGTCGTCTTTAACGTCTTCTTCTTTGTGAGTTGCTCTGTACACTGTACAGGGATCAGAATACAATTCATACTTATTTAAATTAGTAGAGCCAATTTTTTAGACGCAAGCTCGTAATATCTTATTCGTTTAAAAGACAGTAATTTTTTTAGTTAGAGGGTGATCTTTGTTTTTACTGTATCATAAAAATCAGAGTTAAATGAGTTGAAACAAAATAATCGATGACAGGCTTTTTAAAACTAAAAAATGAATTAGATTGTTTTTAAATTTAAAAAACTTTGACCTAAAAATTTGCTGATCTCTTTATTTTTGCAACCTGATGGCATTAACACTAGAAATCTTAAGCTTAGACTTTTTGATCTAACAGAATTTACAGTTTGAAATACAAAGGTGCGTGTACGACATTGAGTTGCAAAGATATATGTATGGATTAGTTCCTTTACAAAAACTAATAACCGTTTTAAAAATCTAAATTTTCAGAAATTCTGGCATTATATGTTAAAATACTATTTATCTAGGTATTGCTAAGAGTACTAAGGAAGAGTGTGGATAGATGTAAAGAATGTTGCTGCAGAGCAGTAATCAAGTAAACCTTCTAGTCTCCGGACTACAGGGTTTACTCTCCAGGGGGACTCTACTAGATTTAACCCTAGCTGCCGGGGGGAAAACTATCCGAGCTCATAGAGTTGTTCTAGCCTCAGCAAGCAAATACTTTGAGGTAAGGTTTCATTTGTAGATTTATCAATATTACAAGATTTCATTTGTAAATTTATCAATATTACAAGATTTTATTTGTAGATTTATCATTATTAAAGTTTTCATTTGTAGATTTATCAATATAAAAGTCTTCATTTGTAGATTTATCAATATTACAAGATTTCATTTGCAGATTTATCAATATTACAAGTTTTGTTTAACAATGATATTCCATGCTAGCTTAAGAATATTTGCCTGTGAACAAAGTCTCAACCTATTTAACTGAGTTCTAAATCGGTAAAGAGGTCCCTAAGTATTGATTGGACATACAAACAAATAAACATACAGAGATTACTACTTTATATATATATAAACTAGCTTGGGAACCCAGTTTTGCCTTGAACCAATGTTTTATTTATGAGAGACAAGATATTCAATTGAGACCTGTAAACCAAGCAAAGAACATGCCCGTGATTTTACGGAGTTCCTCAGTCAATCGGTTAAGGGGTTCATTAATTATGATCGGACATACAAACAAAGAAATATATTACTACTTTATTTATATAGACAGATATCAATATACAGTTTGTATTTAGGAATTGCTGAGTAACCATGAAGAACAACTTCCAGTTGTTTTCTTCAGAGACGTTTCCTTCCTGGAGATAGAATCTTTAGTTAAATATATATATACTGGAGAAGTCGAGGTTCCAGGATCCGCTCTTCAATCCTTCCTTGCCCTAGCTCATTCACTCGGAGTAACAGGATTCGCTGAACCTCTAGATAAAACTCCGACCAAGAGAAAACTGGAATGGGGTACGGAGACGAAAGAAAATCAAGCTGAACTACCAAAGAAAGATAAGAAACCTGAACCTAAGATATTCTCCCCACTATGTACTCCGTCCAAGAGTAGAAGTGAACCTGCATCTCTGCTTGAGACAGCTCTGCAGTGCAGCAGTACTAAAAAACGAAAATTACAAACACAAAGTTTAACAGATGATCTAGAGAACATTGATCCAAACCTTTTTAATCTTTCAAATATGTTTTTTGAAAAAAGACGACCTTCTGTAGGAAATCATGCTAAAAGAAATAATTGTGACAAAGAAAATTGTTTTCCTAATGGAGGAGTTTTAAACCCTACATCTAGTCCTGATCCTCTCAACTCAACTCAATCTAAATCGTCCCATCGAGTAGAGCGGAGTATATCCTATTTAACAAAACTAAAAGCGAGCCCCTTTAAGGATCAAACAAACCATGCTCCCTCCTCCTCCCTTCCTGCTCCACAATCCCCTAAAACCTCAAATACATCCTCACAATCAGGACACTCCTCAAATTTCAGTTTTGATTCTCATTTCCTGGATCCTGATGAGCTGGCAGCCAAGGGAGCAACCCTACTTCATCATCTGGCTGTCTGGATGATTCAACAGCGGAAGGATGGAAATCAACACTTTTATCAAGGGTAAGTATTTTTTTAATTTAATAGATATTTAAAAACTATAAAAATTTACTTGCAATTTTTTTCAGATCGGGAACTTATGTCGGAGATGATCTTCCCTCTCCGAACCTTGAGGACGGGACGGAGAAAAATGAAGCAACTCCTGCTACACGTCAGCAATCCGTCCACGCCTCGTCCTACTCAGCTGTTAGAAAAACAGGACGGAAATCCCTTCTAAGCGGATCAGAATGTGACAGACCGGATTCTGGGTTCGACTCTAAGGATGATCAAGAGGAGGAGCATCCGTTGAAAAGAGAAAGCTCCGAAGGTTCTCCTGAGCTGGGAGAGATGTCAAGACAAGCCATGGCGAGGCAACCAATCAAGAAGAAACGAGTCTTCCATCATAATATGATTTAAACCTAAACAATAATCCACTAATCATCTTTAATCTCTATATTATTTGATTTCTGTGATCAAGATTCTCTCAACTAACAATTTTAAAGTAATTAATATTTTAATCACTTAGCAATGCATTTGTAATAAAGTCTAGAATACAATAAAAATATAAAGTGTGTGGGGGGGGGGGAGTGGGAATTAATGAAAATAAAATTGATGATTAAATTAAAGCCAAAGCTAAAGGGGAAATTACTGTGTAACTTAGGGCGTAAAAGAGGGGGGAGAAGCGGCGTATGCCTCCATGGAAAGTCACGCCCCTCCCCCCTGGGATTTATAAAATCAGGTGTGCAGGTAGGTAAAAATGAGCTTGCCCCCATCAGGGGCGAACGAGGGGGGGGGGGGCACCCATTGCATTGGACTCACCCAAACTAAAAGATTAAGTAAAGAATTAAAATATATTCTGATTCACAACAATACCCTCCAAAGCTTTGTCTGATCAAGATTTGCATTAAATATCCATGTTTCCAATTTTGAAAACTGATTATTTTTAATTGTGGTTTCTCTACAAAAGTGACTCGCGAATTTCTTGCTTCAGAAACGATGGAGAAATGAAGGTTTCTTAAAGGTACATCGGACATGCCACTCCATAAATGGAGGGTCACTTGAAATTACGCAATTACGTATTCCATTTAAGTATAATTACATCGTATAAAAAATACTTTAAAATATCACTTTTGCCCTTAACTAAAAAAGTTTCATTAAAAAGCTTTAAATAATATTTATTTGATATCATAATTTTTAAAGCAATATGTATCAATCTTATGAAAATATACATATTTTTTTAGAAACGTTTCCATCTCTATTTTTCATCCCTTGAAACTTACACCACAGGATTAAGAGGTAGTGTCCGATGAGTCCACTTAAGAAAATTACCATAAATATTTACACTAGTAATATGGAAGTGCGTATATGATCGAATAGTTAAAAAGGTATCAATATTTTTTCAAAAAAGGGGTTTTGAAGGGGGGGGGCACAACAGTTTTTTTTGCGCACCCCCTCAGGAAATGCTCTCGTACGCCCCTGGCCCCATATGTGAAGGGGTGTATAAAATTCCATCCCCCTGGTGCAAATATTATAGTTTCTCAATAGCTTGTTATAATTGAAAGAAAACTACATATTGCAAAACAGGTCAGTAAAAATAATCTAAATCAAATTACGATGTGTAATTAATTGAAATTCTAGTATTTTAGTTTTGAGTCATTAATCTTCACGTTTTCTGAGGTTTTCAGGTTGAAAGAATTCTCGCCTGCGACGCCCCCTTAACTTATTACCCTTACTTTGAAAACTTGCCAAATTCCTAGTTAAGGATCTGATAACAAGCTATTTGCAGATTAGATGTAACAACAAAACACCATTTGCATTTTTTCGACCAGTGTGGAGGGGGGGTCCAACCCTAATGAAACATCCCCTCCTTAAAAAATTGCTAGTTTCGCCACTGAATTATAATTACCATAAAGTGTCGGACCAAGAATATTTTTTGAAATCCCGGCCGGTCATTTAACTCCCCCTTCCCCGTTAAGGTTTACGGATCAGTTAGGCACCGATTATAATTTGCTAATGATAAAAAGACTTGAACCATATGTTTTTTTTAATAAAAAGGACTTGAGTTATATATTTTTATTGATAAATAGGACTTGAGCAATATGTTTATAAGAATTGAAAGGTCTTGAGCTAAATATTTTTATCATAACAAGGACTTGAGCTATGTGTTTCTTGTAATATAAAGGACTTGAACCATATATTTAAAATAAAAAGGACTTGAGCAGTCTGTCTCTCATAATATAAAGGATTTGGGCTATAAGTTTTTAATGATAAAAGAGAACTTGAGCTGTATGTCTATAATAAATGAAAGGTCTTGAGCTAGATGTTTTAATAGTAAACTATGTTTTTTAAATAAAAAGGACTTGAGCTTTATTTTTCTCATAATTTAAAGGACTTCAACCATATGTTTTTTGGAACAAAAAAGGACTTGATCTATATGTTTTTAATCATAAAAGGACTTGAGCTATATGTCTATACCCTACTAACCTGAAAACTTAAAAATACGTATGACATACGTATACGATTTTTAGGTTTAGGAATACGTAAAAATACGTATTTACCATACATATGACATACATATTTTCGTAACCTTTTCTTTAGCAAAAATACGAATTTGACAAATTTAAAACTGCGTATGTAAAAAACCTAAAAATCCAATGAATCAGGAATTTTTAGATTTTTTCCTTTACGTAAAAATACGTATTTAATATCTGTAAAAATACGTATAGGTAAAACCTATAAGTTCCTGATTTCATTTACTATAGTAAATAAGGTCTTGAGCTAGATGTTTTAATAATAAACTATGTTTTTTAAATAAAAAGGACTTGAGCTATATTTTTCTCATAATTTAAAGGACTTCAACCATATGTTTTTTGGAACAAAAGAACTTGAGCTATATGTTTTTAATCATAAAAGGACTTGAGCTATAATATGTCTATAGTAAATGAAAGGTCTTGAGCTAGATGTTTGAATAATAAACTTTATGTTTTCAAATTAAATGGACTATATTTTTCTCATAATTTAAAGGACTTGAACCATATGTTTTTTTGAATAAAAATAACTTGAGCTATGTATATATGTTTATGAGTGTCCTGGTTCCAGCTCCAGCAAGTATCCTGGTTCCAGCTCCGGCAAGTGTTTGCCAGCTTCAGCGAGTGTCCAGTTTCCAGCTCCAGCGAATGTCCTGGTCCTGCTCCAGCGAGTGTCCTGGTCCCAGCTCTAGCGAGTGTCCTATTTCCAGCCCTAGCGAGTGTCCTGGTTCTTCCCGCTTTAGCGTGTGTGGTTCCAGCTCTATCAAGTTTCCTGGTGATCGGTTGCAAAGATATAGGGATTAGTTGTTTTTGTTTCTAAAACTCTACCTTTACCCTATTTAAATATTACTATATATAAGCACATGAAATTTAAATTGTGTAATAATGGTGCTATGGAAACGCCTCAACACGGAAACGCCTCAACACGGAATCGGACCCCAAAAAACGAAAACCTCCCCAAAATGATTTTTTTTGAGGCGTTTCCTGTTTTTTCAAAAATTATCGGAAATTCCTCAAATCTAATTTAAAGAGGAATTTCCCGTTTTTTTTTTGATCCGTAATTCCTCGATTTTTAGGTCAGATTCCGGTTTATCAGGGTCTTATATTGTTGAGGGATTTTCCAATATTTTTGAGGGATTTCCCAAATACTAGCTGTTTTAGTACATATTATTTCACTTATTGTGGAGTGTTTATAGCGATCAAAATATTTAATTGATTATCAATTTGTCAGAGGAGCGGGGGAAGGCAGGCGGCCATGAGCGTCCACTATTTCCCCTTCCGTGCCACATATTAGCTTTTTTCTCTTCAGGCAGACATGAGCCACCACTATTTCCCCTTCCGTACCATATCTTGAAATATCACAAAGTTGGATAATGAAGATGGATTTGTATAATCAGTCAGTAATTGAATAATCATTAGACTTTGTGATATTTCAAGAAGCAATACTCAGTCAAATTTGTCAAAAATTTCATTGTAAAGTAACCCTCCCTACACAAATGCTCTTGTACGCCCCTGTCTGCTGGTGTTTTTCAAGAGCTGCTGCTCCGGAATTCGTATAACTGTAGTAGGTCCTCTGATAAAGCATCTAATGTCTTGTAAAAAATCTTCGAGGTTTGGTGAGGAAAAGAACAGCTGTTCTGATATCCGGTCAGATTCTAGCAGATGGATTTCCAACCGTGCATGTCTGTCTACTACTCAGCAGCAGCTGCTATTCACGATGTTTAACAGAATGTTCAACAATATTTTTACATTTTGTGCCTCAACAACCCTGAATTCTGAAGTGACAGTCAATGCATGCCATTGCTATTTGCCAAATAAATTGATCGAATTGAATGAAAATATTATTTAGAATATAATTTATTTTAATTTTCAGAGAATCATCTAGGAACTCAACATGTCTGATGTAGAGGGAGATGATGTTCCTGTCGCCGCTGCTGCCCCCGTCTCCACCGGGCCCATGGACATCAATACCGCCATTCAGGTTGAGTACATTACAGTACAGTCTTAAATGTATTTATCACTGTATTTTAAACGGTTGATACTATTGAAGGAAATCTTANAATTCTTAACTTCCTTTTAAACCAGTTGTTAAACAGTGTTAAAATTGGAATGTGGCCGCTGAGCTCGGGCCCTCGCCATTCCTAGCTTCGCCGCTCGGCCCCCTAGCCTGAGTTAGCCGTAGCGCTTGGCTTAGAAAGTGTCTTACCGGAATGTAACCCTGAAATAGATTTGAATTTATGCTGTGGATCTGCCTTGAATTTGATCCCTCGGGAGGGGTAAATTTAAGTACCCAAAGAAATTTGAAACGTGGAGTAATGATTTTTATTTTATTTCTATTTTTATTTTTTATAGAATTTATCAGAATCTTGTTCTTATTGATTCTTGATAAATTATTGATCAGACAAAGCTCTTATGGGTTGGAATTGGATATGCCGCAGTATAATGGAGGAGTCGCTTTAAATCACGTCTATGGTCTCTTCCACTTTAAAATTTATCAGTTACATTTTGCAACATACGAGAACGAATCCAGCAAGAGCAGAATAGTTGTCAGTCCCTTTCTATAAATCAGTATGTCTTCTTGGAATGTAATAATCATCATTAATTATTTAGGAGGTACTAAAGCAAGCCTTGATTGCTGATGGTTTAGCGCGTGGTCTGCGTGAGTCCGCTAAAGCGCTTGATAAACGTCAAGCTCTTCTGTGCGTGCTCAGTGAGAACTGCGACGAGCCTATGTACAAGAAGTTGGTGAGCGCTCTCTGCATGGAGCACAACATTCCACTCATCAAGGTAAACAATAGTTATTGAAAAGTTTATTCTCCCGTTCACAAACTTTAACTCCACAGGGGTGTATACTTTTCTTGTTTTTTCGTTTTTTATTTTCTCAGCATTGATTGTATTTTTTGGAGGGTTTTATTCGCTAATTTTTAATCATAAAAGGNCCCCCCCCAATATTCCCAATCCGGGAACCAGGTTCAGGGCAGGAGGTGGGAAAGTTAAAAACCCCTGCATCCCCATTTTTCGGTTTAGAAATACCAGGAAAAGCTATTTCTTAAATCCTTATTCGTATCTAATACATCTGAACTATCAAGAATGGTATAGATATTAGATAAGCATCAAACCCCGATTTGGTCTTTAACTAGTAACCAGTTCAGTTTTTGTTCGTTATTCAACGTCTATGATATCTAAAAAAGATTTCTCTTCAGAAACATTCTCTATTGTTTATTTCTGTGCTATTTCTACGATTTTAAAACCTACTTATAGCTGCGCCATGAATCCTTATTCTTATTCTTTCTTAAATCTTTAAAAATGTAAATCATTGAAAATACTATTAAAGGGTCACCTTCTGAATCATTTGCAACTACTTTAATTTGTAAACTATAAAGGTTGACTCCAACATGAAGCTGGGTGAGTGGTCAGGTTTGTGTAAGATTGACCAGGAGGGAAACGCCAGGAAGGTTGTCAAGTGTTCCTGTGCTGTTGTGAGGAACTGGGGACTAGAGACTCCAGCTCATCATGTTCTGCAGGTACTATCTAGTAGAAGAATATCTTTACCCTAATTTTTGTTAAAATGAATTATTGGGGAAAGTAATGATGAAAGGTTAATTGGTAATATTTTTCTACATTGCCTCCCATATCATATTGGATTATCTAGATTATCTCCTAGCTTGTCTTGTATTCTTATATTTTTAATTCAAAATAAAATCTTATATATTATAACATTGTTGTTATTTTAGGAGTACCTGAAGTCCCAGTAAGCGAGCTGCTGAACGATTAGGATCTACAATATTCGATCCTAACTCTTCTTTCTGAAGTTTAATGTTTTTTACTTTCAGATGAGACTGTAGTCGTCTGCATGCTTCTAAATTTGCATGCTTTAAAGTGAACCAATCAAAATGTCAGTCGGGTATCCAACCCTCTCTCCTGGAACCATCATTGCTTCCGTCCCTAACATGGTTTTCAACGATGAGGTTCCGAATGATCCCGGAAAGATGTTTATCGGAGGCCTGTCCTGGCAAACAACTCCGGAGGTAAACTGAGCTTGGGGAAATCCAGCAATTTTTTTTGATTATTTGAGGCGTGTACTTATTTTCTAACACCTGATTTTACTCTTTATTAGTCATCGTTTAAAGTTATTATTTGGACATGGGAGAAAACGTTAAAATCTTGAAGAAAAACTTCACCAAATTTTTGTACTGCAAGTTAGTTTATGCTTCCAATTAATCTTTGGGAAGGAAATGATTAAATAAAAAGCTATCAATAGGTTGAGGATTTCAATTTTCTGGAGCAGTATATTGAATAAATTGCATGAATTATCCCATTTTTTTTTACACCTTGGCTTTTACAATTGATATTTTAGAACGTCCGAGTTTACTTCTCTCAGTTCGGAGATGTAGCGGAGGTAATGGTTATGAAGGATCCAGTGACACGGAGATCCAGAGGGTTCGGTTTCATCACTTTTACACATGCAAACAGTGTAGATAAGGTTCTAGCTCTTCCAGCACATACCATCGATGGAAAAGTTGTCGAACCTAAGGTAAAAAATTGTTTTACACCTTGGCTGTGCCCCTTAAGTTTAAATCCAAGATAGGTTTAAACTATTTTATTTCTTTAGATCGCTGTGCCCCGTAAGTTTCATCCCGAGATGGTTTTGAAATTATTTAATTTATTTCTCTAGATCGCTGTGCCCCGTTAAGTCAAATCCCAAGATAGTTCTGAAATTATTTCGTTGATTTCTCTAGATCGTACTTCGTAAGTCTAATGCCAAGATCGTTTTGAAATTTATTTATTTCTCTAGTTCGCTGTGCCACGTAAACAAAATCCCAAGATCGTTTTGAAATTAATTGATTTTTTAGATCGCTGTGCCCCGTAAGTCCAATCCCAAGATGGTTTTGAGAACTAAGAAGATATTTGTCGGAGGATTATCCAATACTACAAGTCTTGAAGATATAAAAGCTTACTTTGAGCAATTTAGCAAAGTTAAAGAGTCAATGTTGGCATATGACAAGGTTAGTAATCCGTCCTTCAATCCCCCCCGCCCCCATCCCCATCCACTAAAATCAATAAAACCCATGAATTAAAAAAATCAACATTATAAAACAAATTTTAAAGGAAGAACACCTCTCAAATCAGATTAGCTCCCTGAAGGCGGGAATTTTTATTCGAGAAAATATACCCCGTTAGCGAATAAGATTAAACCCCAGTGGAGTTTTTTACCTCAGGTTGGTTCCGAAACCACTCCACACATACCAAAACAAACATACGTGCAGTGCTTAGAAGCCGGATCCGTTGCATCCGCAAGGTTTTGGCTTCCCGGATCCGCAAAAATATGCAGATACCCGGATACAAGGGGCAAAATATCAACCAAAAACTGCAAACAAAAAACCCAAATCTGAAAAAAGAGAGATTATAAAATTTCCTGATCTCTTGAATGGTTCATTAAGTTTTAGTATGAAAATAAGTGAAATAAAAAAAAATCAGTAAATCTTAAAGAAATGTTCTTGACTTGGATCCGGATCAATTTTTTTCCAATCCGGATCCAGGATCCGGATCCGCATCTTAAATAAATGGATCCTGGATCCTAAGCACTGCATGCTTGGATAATTAACTTCTACGTCAAGATAATGATAGTTTATATTTTGTTAGGTCACAAATCGGCACCGAGGATTTGGTTTCGTTACATTTGACAACGAAGAAGTTGTGGATAAAATATGTGAAATACATTTTCATGAAATTAATGGTAAGCGTTCACTCTCCAGTTAACATTGACTTCATGTTACACCACACTGGAATAATATAATTGATTTTATTTTTCCTAAATCTAAATGGTATCCGGCCGCTGTAATATGAATTTTTATTCGACGATTGATTAGTCACTAATTGCCAATTGGAAGTTCTGGAAACAACAAAACTAACAGATAAAAAATAATTTTTCATCACTCAATGTTATTTATTCTCGCAGGGCCAACCATTCAACGGGTTCAAATTTTGGGTCCGCAAAAATACCTTGATCTGAAGTCCATCAAAACATTTTAAAAAAAATTTTTAAGTCAGATTATTATTTGACCAGTAATTTAATGACTGTTATTCCTAGAGAATCAAGGTCCCTCTGAACCTAACTTTGTTCCCCCCCCCCGCATACCTTATTAAATACATCCTGTTCTTAATTCTATCGTTTTAAGTTTGAATGTTTGACATTTATTGATATGATTAGGTAAGATGGTTGAGAGTAAGAAAGCAATGCCTAAGGAGCCCCGAGGAAACATGAACTTTTCAAACTGTTTTTATCCAACCCTTCCACATCACTCCAGGATTCTGGACAACGCTACATATGTTCAAGAGATGTCACAAACTTTTATTACCGAGGGCTTTGATCGAGAACACTGGCAAGATAATTATATTGAAAACTATTCTAAGATCCATCCTTACTCCGGGAAACCGTCCCGCTTCTCCGAGTACTATCCTGGCAGACGAAACTCTAACAAAATGCATCCTGAGCAAGCTTCTGAGAATACCTTTAGATCTGAACAAACTGAAAGTAAGTTTATTTTTAAATGCAACCAACTAAATTCTTTATCACCTTTGTAAATAATGAAAACTTTTTTCTCACTCTGAATCAGAATATCTTATTTAAATTATTATTGTTATCTTAAAGATTGTGCTTGCATGCCGTAAATGCTGATTTAGTTTTACGTTCTTCTTTCTAGCCATTTAAAGAACGACACCTTGGTATGTCGACTTGCAGGTCAAGAAATTAGTTTTAAAAAAATTTTGGACGGTAACATGCCATGTAAAATAAAAGATATTATTGGATAAAACATAATTAAAATGGTTTTTAATTAATTTCCTTCCGAGGTTTCGGTAATGACAATTTGATGCCGACTATCCTTCAAAGACTCGATAATTGCATTTAATTCAACTTTGATCCTTCCTAGTCCTACAACAATTCCTTTATTTTTTTATTATAAAGGGACAGTAAGCGTAACTTTGAGTGACCCTCCATGAAGAGATAGAAATGCACGAATACCTTTGAAACCTTAATGTTATCAAAAATGATAGTTTTCCTGACTTGAAAAAGTGTTGATTTCTGTGAATTTCGCCTTGTTTCCTTTAATAAAGAAATGCGAAAGTTACTTCTGCAGAGAACCTACAAATAAACCATAAATGCATATTTAAGTCATACTGGATCAGACAGCGCTGTCAAGGGTACTGTATCGAGCATACTGGATCAGACAGCGCTGTCAAGGGTACTGTATCGAGCATACTGGATCAGACAACGCTGTCAAGGGTACTGTATCGAGCATTGATATCTTTGCATGGAGGGTCATTTAAACATTACACTTACAGTACATTCAAACCCTCAATTGATAGATTGGCGTGTTTTTCTTTTTTTTCTGATTAAGTATAAATGAGGTTCATGATTTTTTTTTGAGGGGGGGGCTAATAATTTTAAGTTTATGTACAAAGTGACTGCAAACTTTTTGCTTTAATAACCAAAAAAATAATAGAATTAAACACCGTTCTAAAAAAACGACGTAATCTTCCACATCATTTATAAGTTTTAAGGTTTCAAGGGTATCGTTGTGAATCATGCATTCTACTCTTTTCAAGAAGGTTCACTAAAAAACTACAACAACACTACCAGTCCCCCCCCAAAAAAAAAAAAAACTTCCACAACTTAATTTCTATTTTATTTCTAGGTTTTGATAAGACTATTCCACATGAAGAATATGATGCAGATTTTCCTAAATTAACCACTAAGTTTCAAACCTTCTCCATGGAGGAGGAGCCCCGACCTAACCAACCTGTTTATTAAATATAACAGTCCAGTAATCTGTAGTTTATAGAATAACAAACCTAAATTTATTCATCTTAAAGGAAATTATTAAGATATTTGTTATGCAGAAATCTAATAAGATTCTCCCAACTATGAAACGGACACAATTACATAAATACTATATATTAATTGCATCTTGAAATTGTAAAGGTGGATTTTTTAGTTAATCCCGCCGGAACTTGCTTTGCATGAATGGGAAATGTTATTTTTTTTAACCACGGCCTAGAATTAAACTTTCTATTTCTATTCTTGAAATGCTGTCAAATCTACTTTTTATAACCGTTAAAAACTATTTTAAATTAAAATGAAATTGTGCAATAACAAAAAATCAAGTTAATTATATATCCAGGGTCTGGTGTAGGGTGAGTTAGAATTCATGAAATTATTTTTAAAAATGCCAATTTGTTCAACTTGTGGAAATAACTTAATACGAATTAGTGGCTTCTTACACTTCATTCAAGGGAACTATAAATTCCAGCCTTCCTCTTGTTTTCTATCAAGTATGTAATCATTAGTTAGTGTAAACCTTGTTACTCTATTCAATATGAAAATTTATAATTAAATTTAATTAAAAAATTGTATGCATGACTGAGTTTAACTTACTGGACAGAATTTATCTAAGGTTGCAGTGCTTAAAATCAATTTAATTTTGATGCGGATCCGGATCCTGGATCCCCACTGGAAAAATGTATCCGAATTCGGATCCAAGTCATTTCTTTAAGATTTACTGAATTTTTAACGAAAAATAATTTTCAAATTTTTTGTGTTTTTTTCACTTATTTTTTATCCTAAACTTGATGAACCATTGAGAAATGGGGAAACTTTTATAATTTCTACTTGGATCCGGATCCGTGGATCCGCATATTTTTGCGGATCCGGATCAAGGAAGCCAAAATCATCCGGATCCGTATCCTAAGCATTAGTTTAAAGAATGACGAGAACAAGATCTTCCAACATTATTGCAATATATAATGCTAACTGCATAGTGCTCATGATTTTTTATAAATAATTCAAATAAGCAAAAACGGTGTACATTTGAACTGCAGGCGATGATGAATTTGAAAAGATATCTATACCCTCTTTCACCCCCTAAAGTCTTAATCATTTCATTCAATGATCTACACTGAAACTCAAGATTACAGATTTGCAGAAGTTTTTAAAATTGGGGTCTTACCATGACAACCAGGAGTAGGAATGATAGACTGAAAAAATTTCGTTAGGAATTATGTTCATTCGGACCAACGTTCAAATGTTCTATAGTCCTTATGAACATTGACCAACAATGTTCAAATGGACTAATTTTTCAAATTTTTTAATAGTTACCACCTTTATTAATTTAAATAATGAAATGATGAAATCTCAAGTTTACCGCATTATTACTTCACCTCCCCAAAATCTTTTAAATTACATTAACGGAAGTATCGTCATTTGGTTTTGAGCCTAAAATATAAAGTTCTGATTGAATTATGTTATATGTAAAATAAAATTTAGACTATTTCCCCATAGGTCAGATGATGAGTTGAATTTGCGACAGCTTGGAAGCTGTTGTTTAAAACCAAACCAAATATAATTTATCGATCACTCCTTGGATTTCATTTTCAAGGGCAACTTGTATATTTATAAAATCAGCGGGATAGGGTTATAAACAACAGAATACAATAATCTAAACGATTTCAATTAAATATAAATAAAATACTTGTCAATAATCCTCACGGAAAATCATTCATAGTGCTGCAGGGTATATAATGAGAAGATAAGGTTCAGATTCGAATCACAATTTATAATTAATATATCTATTATTTTTGTTTTCAAATACTTAATATACACAGTTCAGTTGCTAATTTGATATCTGGAATAATATCAAATTTTAAAGAATAAGTGTTTATTCGTTCTTATTTCCTCTATTTAGATATACACAAATGATACATAAATTGTATACAATCAAAATGTTGATGGAATTTTAGATACTTTTCCTCATAATAATGATAATATTTCTATTATCTAACCCTGAACCGAGTTTGTAAGTAATAAAGAATATATAACGCCTTGAAATGGACTAAACTTTAAAATCTGACTTTGTTGATCTTAGAGTTAATATGTTGATAATTTCCCGTATGGTAACATTAGCCCCCCCCCCGGCCCTCCCTCTCCTTTCATAATTTACACAAAATATTGTTCTTTACTCACTAGGTTGAAAAAGTAGTCCGCAAATCAACTTCCTCCGGTTTATTCCTAGAGAACGATTTTTCAACCTAGAGGAGAAACTACATATTAAAGGCGTATTCTGGAAGGACTATCGGGGATCAGCCCCCCCGATCACTGAAATATCTTAAATAGCTGAGTACGCCTCTGGTTCATATCCTTAATATAGCTTTATTTTCCCAAAATCTCAAATTATTATCATATTTTCAGAGGGAACTGAGACGTATAAAATGTTTAACCTACTGGGTTTCTATGCATATTAGTAAGCACAGAATGCTGAACATCTAGGTCTTAATGAGGTATGTAACCAAACATATATCTATAATCCTAGACGGAGCATATAGTAAACCTAAACCTATACATTATCCTAGGCAGAGTAGTAAACCTAAACCTAAATACTATAGTCAAGGCGGTGTAGTAAATCTAAACCTATATATTCTATACGGAGTAGTAAACCTAGCCTATATACTATAGGCGAGGCGGAGTAGTAAACCTAAACCTATATATCATAGACGGGGTAGTAAACCTAAACCTATAAATCCTAGACGGGGTAGTAAACCTAAGCCTATATATCCTAGACGGAGTAGTAAACCTAAACCTATACAGCGTAAATTGAGTTGTAAACCTAAACCTCTATATCCTAGACGGAGTAGTAAACCTAAACCTATATATCCTAGACGGGGTAGTAAACCTAAACCTATATACCCTAGACGGGGTAGTAAACCTAAATCTATATATCCTAGACTGGGAAGTAAACCTAAACCTATACATCCTAGACGGGGTTGTAAACCTAAACCTATACATCCTAGGCAGTTTAGTTAACCTAAACCTATATATCCTAGGCAGAGTAGTAAACCTAAACCTATATATCTTAGACGGGGTAGTAAACCTAAACCTATAAATCCTAGGCGGAATAGTAAACCTAACCCTATATATCCTAGACCTTTATATCCGAGAAGGAGTAGTAAACCTAAACCTGTACATCCTAATTTGAGTAGTAAACCTAAACCTATATATTTTAGGCGGAGTTGTAAACCTGAACATATATATTATCCTGGCGGAGTAGTAAACCTAAACCTATATATTATCCTAGGCGGAGTAGTAAACCTAAACCTAATCTTATGTATTATCCTAGGCGGAGTAGTAAACCTAAACCTATATCCTGTCCTCCTCCCGGATCCATCCTAGTTCCAGCGGATAGTCCATTAGCAGCTGAAAGACTGGCGGAATATCAAAGAGACTCCCCCGTCCCTCCCAGGTAATTTTATTCAGACACATCTAGGAACCTTGATCACATACCTCTTTAAATAAACAAACAACCTTTATATTATTTGTCAAAAAATTAGCCTTATTTTTCTGCATCTTCCTGGTATTGTTTTTGAGGAAAACAAAAGCTTTTGATTAATCTGTTCTCTAGGTGAACAAAGAACTTTAATATGTCTGAGTCTTTGTGTAACAAGATTCTTGTTTCTTTTGTATAATCTACATTCAAGTAACAACAGGCTTGAGTTTTCTGTATTTCAGATGAGGAAAAATCTGAAAGGAACTGTAAACTTAGTTTTAAGTGAACCTCCGTGCAAAGTGGGCAATGGCCGATTCACAATGGTTTCTTTGGGTTACTAGACCCTTTGCTTTGTATAATGTACAATTGAATAACAAAAGAATCAAAGAACTTTGATTATTCTGCTTTTGGAGCAAAGATCTTAACTTTGAGAGTAACAAAGAACTTTTGATTTCTCCTCTTTTGGAGTACCAAAGAACTTATTTTTTTTCTTATAGGAACAAAGAACTGAATTTCTCTTTTCTTGGAGAAACAAAGAACTTAATTTCTCTTTTCTTGGAGAAACAAAGAACTTAATTTCTCTTTTCTTGGAGAAACGAAAATCTTGATTTCTCTCTTTGGAGGAACAAAGAAACTTAATTTCTCTTTTCTTGGAGTAACAAAGAACTTAATTTCTCTTTTCTTGGAGAAACAAAAATCTTGATTTCTCTCTTTGGAGGAACAAAGAATAATGATTTTCTTCTATTAGAGGAACGGAAAATTATGATTTCTCTGTTTCTTCTCACGAATAAGCCTGATTTCTCTATAAAGGAACAAAGAATGTTGGATTCTCGTTGCAAATTGAAAGAAAGAAGCGTTTTTTCTCTGTTCTGTGAAGAACCAAAACAAAAAAAACAATCACATCTTGTTCTTTCCCTTGGTTATATTTCTTTTTAAAATAATATTTCATTGTTTTCTATCCAGGCTTATCTGGGCTGTTAGATAATATGATATCATTGTCTCCCCCCTCCAGATATGGAATTGAGATTGGAATCCATTTTTCCGTTTTTTGTAATCTGATCTGATAAACTAAACTTAAAATATTCGTATTTCAGTCCCGAGACGGATTCCGGCTCCGAGAGTCTCAAGTTATCCTGTCAACCTCTGATATCTCTAAGTACAGGGATGCCTGAAGCCTCCACCAACGCGGAGACCCTGTCCTCCTTGACCTCCAGTTTCAAGGATAAGATGAAGATGGACAAGGTTCGGAGTGTGGGTGGGAGCAGCACTCACAGTGTAAAGCAAGCTCAGGACCTGGATCAGAAGAAAGTAACTGTCCAGGTCGGAGACAGATACAAGGGTACAGGGCAGAGTAGCAGGAGAAGGTTACAAGCAGCAAACCTTGATATTACCAGAGCGTTCCAAACCTGTCGGGAGGAGGGAACTACGAGATTAGATCTTAGTAAATCTAATATATCTAATATTCCTACATCAGTCAAGGATCTAACTCATTTAACAGAGCTTTATCTTTACTCTAACAGGTGATAATAGTTGTATCCACTGTCCATTTGATTTTACTAAAATTATGTCTTTAGAACCTCAGGGTTGTCCCCGGTCCCAATTCCCTTAATAGGATAAACTCGAAGCACAAAATCCCCCATTATCCCTAGAATCAAAGCAAATGGGTCTTGTTCTCCCTAACTAGTGAAGAGAGGAGGGGGGGGGGGGGTTC